GACCCGGTGGCATGGAAAGAAGCGGACGTGAAGTCCGGTGCGAACGTGCACAGTATAGAATTATCATTGATGTGTGGATAAAGAACACCATATATCTACATTCATATATATATATATATGCATACATATATACATACATATATACATATACATATACATATACATATACATATATATATACATACATATACATATATATATATATATACATACAGATACATATATACATATATGCATATATGCAGCATATGCAGCATATGCAGCATATATATATACACATATATGCATATATGCATATATACATATATAATATATATACATATATAATATATATACATATATAATATATATATACATATATAATATATATACATATATAATATATATACATATATACATATATACATATATACATATATACATATATACATATATACATATATACATATATACAAATATATATACAAATATATATACATATATACATATATACATATATACATATATACATATATACATATATACATATATACATATAGACATATATACATATATACATATATACATATATACATATATACATATATACATATATACATATATACATATATACATATATACATATATACATATATACAAATACGTATATACAAATACATGTACAAAAAACATATACATATACATGTTATATATATATATACATATTATATTATATATGTGTATATATATAATATACACGCACATATACATATGTATATATAAATATAACATGTAGTCGACATATACAAATGTAGTTTATTACTACGTTACTGTACCAAGACACTTTACCAACCCGCCGTAGATTCGAGCTGTCGAGTAGCAGGCGATGACGATGATTCGGATTCAGACAGTGGACGCAGTGTAGCTGGAGTTGCCCGGTGGGAAAGCTGTGGTGCGAAAAGTGGTTTCATAGATTTCCGTTGCCCATTAATATATGGGTATGTCTAAAAATGGGGTATACCCCCAATTATAGCCATTTAGTAGGGATAATGATCATTAACCATTGGGTGTAGGGGTACACTATTTTCAGACAAACCCATATGGATTTGTAAATTGATTTAAACGGATTGTGAAGCAACAACCTGAGGATTTTACCTAAACATGGGATTTTAACCAGCAAATTTACCTGCAGAAGTCCTTTTTTTGCATTTGTTGGTTGATTAATAGAGGGGATAATCCCCCTTCACAGCCAATAGGCAAATGCTGATTCACAAATAAATGGTATACTAGACCGACCCCTTAAGGACGTTATCGGTTCGAAATATCCAATCAGTGGAAGAAAATCAGCGCGAAACATAGGAGGTCAAGCCTGTTACAGAAGTCGGGGCTGGATCCAGCAGGCTGTTTTTTGTTGAGGGTTCGATGCGATTCTTCCCCTACACCAATGGGTGCAGGGCTGCATGTCCCTCCTGAAATGTCGAAAAAAGATCCTCACCATGGGTAGACCTGGGTCTCATGAAGATGGGTCCCCCCCAGATCGATCCTCTGACAAATGGTGATAAACTATGGTTTAATCGGGTTTAGTGGAACGACTGGTTGAATCTGGCGTCTGAAAATGGTGAAATTTTCAATCCCAAAAATGGCCAATCGAAGTGGGAAATGGTGATCAAAACATTGGGGGCACCCTGTTTTCAGAGACATTTTCTGAGGAATCACAGCCCTCATTCTTCAGTGCAAGAGATCGTTGGGATTCAACTCCCAAGGGGTTATCTACCGAGAAATTCTGGAGTTAATGCAGGATACCCTTAGTCCATCAAAATGAATGGCTTTCTTTCTGATTTTCTCTTGCCATGATTTTTTAAATTTGCGGGTTACAAAAATCCAGTCTGGTGCCTGTGGTGCCTCCAGGAAGAGCAATTCGAATTGCTGGAACTTTGGAACGCTTCGAAGAAGCAAGCGAAGAAGATGAAGAGAGGGACACTTTTTCCGCGCGAACAATTGGGGGCTGGTTTGAATAACAAACATAGGGACTTCGCGCGTGGTAAACAATGTAAATGCAGGATATAAACCCAACAAGCAAACTGGGTATTTCTCACAGCAAAAACCAGTAACTCAAGGCAAAAATCAGGAAGTTCACCACAGAAACTGTGATTTCCTGGATACCAAATTTGCAAGAAGCAGTGTACCAGTAGGATCCTTCATATTTTCAATACTTATTTTCAATACTTGAATATGTACTGGGGACTTGTCCCAATTTGTATACTGTATTACTGTAAGAGTATGTAACAGTTTAAGATCCATACCAGGTCAAACAATTTGTATCTTGTTTGGTCTTGGAACTCTCCTCCAATTACTGCCAGGAAGGAAGTGCGTCATCTTATCTGTCGTTTGGGGCTTCCTGCAGAATAGATAGTACAGGGTGGTGCCCCAGTTCGTTAGCTAAGTTGGTGCAAATAAGTCCAATAACTATGGTTTATAGGTGATACTGTATATCTATAGTTATAATGGGATTATAAGCCATTTATAACTTGGGGGGGGGCACCACCTTGTAGCATATTCGTTTTTTACCACCCATCCCAGAGAGAGAGAAACCAGTGATTTTCTGATCCCATCCCCGCTATCAAACACCCCAAGAAACCCTGCTGGATGTCGGGGATGAAATCACATATGGTACCCTGCTGGATGGGTGTGACAAATATTTCGTTTCGGATGGGAGTCGATTAATAAGGCGCTGGGATCCTCCCTAGATTTTCATCAGGAGACTTATCTATTTATCATTATAGATTTCTATAGAACTTTGTTATTATTATCATTATATTATCATTATATCATTATTATCATTATAGAATTCTATAGAATTCTATAGATTGTTGGACCTTTGACCGACTATCTTGCGACCTCTATCTTGTTGCTAGTCTCAAGCATGGCACAGCTGGAAAGCTCCATCTTGGATAAACCGTCCCCTACCAGGGAAACCATCCCCTGGTAGGTATGCATAGCATTGGGTTTCCCGCATGACCCACATGACCCACATGACATGATACAGTTTTGAGACTTCATCCTGACTAGTTCCATTCTTATTCTTATTTCCATTCTCATGATGACTATCCTTTCATATCCATATGAGATGGCTACGCAGCTACGCTCGGGACGGTTGCGAAATCCTGCGCCGATTTCGCTCTTCCATCCGCAGTACCCTCTGGTAGTTGTTACCCTCTATGGAAAATGGCGTCGAAATAGTTGATTTACCCACTCAAAATGGTGATTTTCCATAGTTTTTTGTATGTTTACCAGAGGGTAATCCCATTATTAACCATGATTAACAATGATAAACCAGAATTATTAACCATAAACTAGACCATTGTAGTATAGGTAATCCCATTATTAACCATGATTAACAACGATAAACCAGAATTGATTTTCCAGTTCTGACCCAAGGAGTCAGGCTGAAACCGAGAGCTCCATGCCCTTCCGCGAAGAGGAGGACGACTACGAGGCCAGTTCCGAACTCGCTGCGTTGGTCATTGATGGTGGAGCTCTAGAGATCTACAGGGTGGTGCCCCAGTTCGGGATCGCGTGAAAAGTTGGTGCCAATAAGTCCAATGTCACTATGGTTTTTGTTGGTGATATATCGAACTAGTCAACGGGATTATAAGCCATTTATAACTTGGGGCACCACCTTGTAGTGAGTCTCTAGTGATTTATGGGTGATATCTCGGGATTTATGGGTGATATCTGCTGAATCAGGGTTGAAAAAAAAGTGAAGATCCAGTGATGGTGGGGAGATATAAATCGAACAGCTTCTTTGATTGGATGGGGTTATTTTAGTTATTTTCCAGAAAGATTGGGGCCGAAGGGGCCCTTTTTGTTTTGAAAACAACAGGGGTTTGCAGCTTATTTTTTTACTAATCTAATCTTTTGCCACACATGGGTTTTTGTCAAACAAGAGAATGACTCCTTTTGCTACGGGCACATCGCAGGAATCGATTCTGTGATTCATAACCAATTTCTGTTGCGGTATGATATACCTCATGTGAAAAATTGGGTATGATATAGTTATTACATGTTATTACCCACTTGCCTCCAAGTAATCAACCACAATTTGTGGGTGTTTTTGCTTGCAACTTAGGGGATTTGATTATCAGATGCTATCAGATCTAGATGCATTTATTGTCCAAAGATAGGTGATGTGCCCCCAAGTCATGGTCATTAAAGGGTGGGGTAGTTTCAGACAATCACAAATCTGACTCTGTAAATGACGGTGATTTTTGGATGTGAAGTGAATAGCTACGTTCTGGGTGTCAAAAAATCCAAAATTTTAGCTTCATAGGACCTGCGAAAAGCCCGGACTTGATCTACAGAAATGGATCGAATCAAATTGGCTTTCGTGGTATGTTGACCATCGACCAAGTGGGTAGACACACTTGTGCTATAATATATATATATATATGTATACACAACAGTAGAGACGTCCGTACATATAGAATTTATACACATATTATGTATACTGGGTTTTAGTTCGAAAATGGGATGTTTGGCCCCAGCGAGTCTTCCAGTGGTAGAGGAAGCGATGGCAATTTGCTGCGAAACTACCCTCCGGGATTTTAGACTTTGCTATGGAAAACCTCCAAGTTCGGTAAAGCATTGAACTATCCTCTGGTAATTTAACAGTTCGCTATTGAACATGGCCATAGAAATAGTGAGTTTTCCCTTAAAAAATGGTGATTTTCCAGAGTTTTTTGTTAGTTTACCAGAGGGTAAATGCGCCATGGCTTTCATAGCATCGAACTATGGCATGGTTCATGGCATTTCAAAGGCATGGGCACCAGAAATGAAAAACGCTAAGCTTGAAACTTTAGGATACTTTAGGAACATGTGATTTTGAACATGAAAATGATCGACCTGAGTTAGGGAATGGGTGATTCACATCCTCGCTGTTTCATCAGGAGCCGGTGCCTCATGGATGGATCCTGAACCCCGATTCCAACACGAGAATCTCCTGGGATCTGGGCTCTCTGATCATGGTCCTCTATGATATGGTCATGATCCCCATGCAGGCCTATGTTCCATGGCAGTGACTTCTGACGGGTCGAGCGAGTCCAATGGTGCAGGGCTGATGACAAACAAAGTCATGGGCTGTATACCCATGTATAACCTATCATTGCTCAATCGCTTCAGTTTTTGAAAGACCCAGACTCAGTGAATATTCAGTTTTCCGAAAAGGTGCAACGTCCCGATCGCAGTCGTCCCGATCGCCGTTCTCGGAATGAAGATTCCCGAGGATATGCCCGAGAACGGCTTCTTAGATTTTATGGAATGGACCACGCGCTTATTCTGGACTTTCGACTCTCGGTGACAACAAAAAACCGGAGAAAGATTTTTTTTGGGGTACAACCGGAGGATCCCACGAATCGTAACTGGAAAAAAAGACCTAGTTACAAAGACTCATTCATGGGAGTTAATATAAATATACGTATATATAAATATAAAAATAAAAAGAAATATAATTAAATATACATATAAATATAATATAATAATCTAATATACTATTTATATTTATATTCATATTTACATTTATATTCATATTTATGATTATATTTATATTATATCATAATATAATACAAAATAACATAAAATACAATAATATAATATAATATCAATGTAATATAATATAATATAATATCAATGTAATATAATATAAATATAATACAATTATAAATATAAATATAACTATAAATATAATTGCAAATATAAATCTAAATATAATATACTATAATATAAATATAACTACAATATAATACAATATAATACAATATAATACAATATAATACAATATAATATAATATTATATAATATATAATATACACATATAATACATAATATCTATATATATATAAGTGGGTTATTTGGCAATGTCAAGCCATCCCTAATATTTGGAGAGTCGAGCAAGAACTGGGCCCGGGAGGGTTTCAATTGAAGCCGGTCAGCCAGTTTTGAACATGGTTAAAGTGGGGTTCTATGTAGGAAATGTTAGGATGTTGATTGACGTGTTCAAAGTTTCATCCTTGGCTTTGATGTTTTTTTTTGCCTGCGGGTTTGGAGATATTTTATTTTGGATTAACTTTCATTGGGGCTTTTGAGTTTGGGTGAGGGGGATAATTGTTGTTGCTGTTCAATTGGAAGTTTAGTTCGCATACTTCCGAGTTACGGACCAATGTCCATAGTCAGTCTTGTCATCATGTCAACCACAGAGATAGCAACAGCAGTTGGCTGGTGGGAACAGTAGATTCTCACAGTTGTGGCCCGAAATACCAGTGACAAGTACTGAACTAACCCCATTTATGGAATGTCTAATCCCATCGAAATCCCATTTACCCTCTGGTAAACTAACATAGCTATAGAAAATCACCATTTTCAACGGGCAAATCCACTATAAATGGCCATTTTCAATAGCTATGTAACAAATTACCAGAGGCTATTCTTTGGTTTTTTTTGACAGATTTAAGACTTTTGAAGGACATGTGACATGTGCAACAAGACCAAGAAGACTTGTTGTTTCCCGAAGGTGGCCGAAAAATCTGGATTTTTCACATTGGTGGGATGGCACTGGGATGGACTAGGAAACTGTAAAAAAACGAAAAGGGATTAGCCTCTGGTAATGACTAACAATGGTCTAGTGTATGGTTAATAATTGTGGTTAATCATTGTTAATCATGGTTAATAATGGTTAATTAGCCTCTGGTAATGACTAACATAGCTATAGAAAATCACCATTTTTAAGTTCGGTAAATCTAGATTTCTGGTCGTCACTGGGTTCCATTCCGGCGGTGGTCCCTGAGTGACGCGCTTTTAGGACCAAGTTTTGGTGGGTGGAAATGGGATTTAATGGGATTTTATAGTGTTTTAATGGGATTTTATAGTGATTCAATGGGATATTAATGGAAACTACCCTCTGGTAAACAAACGTAGCTATTGAAAATGGCCATAGAAATAGTTGATTTACCTATTAAACATGGTGGTTTTCCATAGCTATGTTAGTTTACCAGAGGGTAACAACGGAGATCAACAGAAGGGATAGAAGCAAAGAAAAAGTGATGATAGGCCGCAAGAGTTTTTAGACAGCACCAAGAAAAACTGGGATGTAAGCAACAACATCTGGAATCTATTAGATCTAAGCACCAAAAATCGGTAAGCTTCCCCGTTTTTTCGCCGGTCCCCAGGATATCTTCTTCTCCTGCATTACTGGAGTGGTGATGACCGATGGATCAGTGGAGTACAACATCAGGCGTTTTCCGTTGTCAGTGGCCTTTCTCGTGGCAGTTTTTTTTTTGGGGGGATAACATGCAGAGTGGTATAATCTCTGGATATTTTTTTCACTCATGTATGATCTCTCGATAAGATGATCCCATAAGATTAGTGGTATAATCTCTAGCTTTTTGTAGGGTCAAAAGCCTGGGAGCCGACTTGAGCAGTCATAGCTGGAAACTCCGAACCTTGCTGCTTGCCATCAACGATCACAAAAAATCAACTGGCTCCATCCATCTGATCTGATCTAATCTGATCTGATCTCATCTAATCTGATGTGATCTAATCTAATCTGAATTGATCTGATCTAATCTCATTTGATCTAATCTCATCTAGTCTGATCTGATCTGATCTAATCTGATGTGATCTAATCTAATCTGAATTGATCTGATCTAATCTGATTTGATCTAATCTAATCTGAATTGATCTGATCTAATCTGATCTGATCTAATCTGATGTGATCTAATCTAATCTGAATTGATCTGATCTAATCTGATTTGATCTAATCTGATTTGATCTAATCTAATCTGATCTGATTTGATCTGATCTGATCTGATCTGATGTGATCTAATCTGATCTGATCTAGTCTAATCTGATTTGATCTGATCTAATCTGGTTTGATCTGATCTACTCTACTCTAATCTAATCTGGTCTAATCTGATCTGATCTAATCTAATCTGATTTGATCTGATCTAATCTGATTTGATCTGATCTAATCTGATTTGATCTGATCTAATCTGATCTGATCTAATCTGATCTGATCTGATCTGATCTGATTTGATCTAATCTGATCTAGTCTAATCTGATCTGATTTGATCTAATCTAATCTAATCTGATCTAAATCTAATCTGATCTGATCTAATCTAATTTGATCTGATCTAATCTAATGTGATCTGATCTAATCTAATCTGATCCGATCTGATCTACTCTACTCTACTCTAACGTGATCTTATCTAATCTGATCTGATCTACTCTACTCTGATCTAGTCTAATCTGATCTGATCTGATCTAATCTGATCAAATCTAATCTAATCTCATCTGATCTATTCTAATCTGATCTGATCCAATTTAATGTAATCTAATGTGATCTGATCTGATCTAATCTGAGCTAATCTAATCTGATCTGATCTACTCTACTCTGCTCTTCTCTGCTCTACTCTGCTCTACTCTGCTCTACTCTGCTCTACTCTGCTCTACTCTGCTCTACTCCTATCTCTCTATCTATCTGTCTATCTATCTATCTATCTATCTATCTATCTATCTATCTATCTATCTATCTATCACTTTTGGTTGCACCAAAAACCCACAGCATCTGCCAGTGTCACGATTGGTGACTTCCACTGATTTTATTTTTTTGGTGACATGAAGTCGGCAGCTAAAGCTTACATGATATGTATAGAAAACTATAGCACATATCCAATTATATCCAATCATGTCCAATCATATCGATTCATATCCAATCATATCCATTTATTCTGAGTTGATACTGTATTTCATGGTATGTCTAGATTCTATAGATCGCAAGTCAGTTATTCCTCACTTTTTTCCGTTTGAATTTCACTTCGACTTTGGATTTCGCTGATCTTTCCCTCGCCTCGCCTCGCAGGATCATTTTAAAGCGCTACGCCAAGACATGGCTCACCATGGACCTCATCATCGTCCGCCCAGCGCGGTTTACGATGGTTGGATGGTTGGATGGTTGGGATTCCCCGGTTTCAATGTGGTGGGATGGTTAATCTATGGTTAATCTATGGTTAATCTATGGTTAATCTATGGTTAATAATGGTTAATAATGGTTAATAATGGTTAATAATGGTCAATAATGGTTAATAATTGTTAATAATGGTTAATAATTGGAATAACAATATAGTCTGCTTGGTGGTGACTGGAACAACAGGAATTTTTTCTGACTTTCCATCTATTGGGAATGGAATTTCATCATCCCAACTGACGAACGAATAGATTTTTCAGAGGGGAAGGGCTCAACCACCAGCCAGTTCAGCATGTTTTGCATGGGATGTTCTCCTCCATCTTCTGATTTTCTGGTACAGATGTTTTGGAGGTTTCAGGGCATATCCTTGCTCCCAGAATGATGAAGCTGCACCATTGGGCCAAGGCATTATGAACTTTTTTTCAGGGAGAAGTATATTTATATCATTTTATATATGATATATTGTTCTTTTCAAAATTTATAGAAGATGATTTCGATTTCATGATTTCTATCATGTCTGTCTATTCGAATTCCTTTGTGGACAGTCCGCTTCAATGCGGTTCTCTATCCCAGGTCCTGTCTGACTGGTCCGAAGTGGTGTTCTCTTCAGGAGGACTGGAAATCTTGGGACCCCGGGTGTAGCCTCTGGTAAACATAGAAAAAACGATTGAACATGGCCATTTATAGTGAATTTATCCATAGGAAAATGATGGAAAATGGGGAATTTCCATGGGGATTTATAGCTGATTTATGATAGCTAATTAAAAAAATGGCCATTGAAATTGAAATAGTGGATTTACCAATTGATAGCATGGTGGATCTTTCCATGGTTTTTTGGGACTGTTTACCAGAGGGCCTCAGCCCATCAACTAAAATCCATGGCTGACGAGCCACCTTTTGATGGAAAGCTCGTGGATCTCAGGGAATTTTTGATGATTTCCTCTCCAAAGTTTCCCCCTTAGTTGGGTGGTGCTCCCCAACTATGTGAACGTTGTTTTTGTTGATCCCCTTCGCCTTGAACATCCATTAATTCTAGTTATAGTATGTTATAGTTTCCCATAAACCCTAGGTATTGGAGTTATAGTTTCCCATGACTTCACTCTTCGGGGCTCCGAAAAATCGATGTTTTGCAGGGGTGGCCATGTTGAGCTTCGCTCGCACCACACGCATTGTGCGCATCGTGCGCTTGTTGCGACTGGTGCGGATGTGGCTGGGCGAATCGGTACTCCAGTCCCGGATACCCCCAATGGGCCCCCAGAATACGCATAGTTTAGTGGGATAAACATGGATTTTCCTCCTTGTTTTTTCCCGACCTTTTTTTTTGGCATTGGGTGACGAGTCTGATCTCTCGCCGCTGGATTCTCCATGGAGGATTCTAGCGAAGTTCATGGTTAAAAAACACAGGGAACACAAAAACTGCTTGGTGGTGACTGGAACCATGGAATTTTATGACTTTCCATATATTGGGAACACCATTAAATGTTAAATCACCATTAAATCACCATTAAATCACCATGAAATCACCATTAAATCACCATTAATTCACCATTAATTCACCATTGAATCACCATTAAATCACCATTAAATCACCATGATCAGGAACCTCACCTTGTACGATGCTGTGGTAATCCCAATGAAAAATTGGGTGCTTGGTGGGATGGTGACTATGGCATTGGGTTTATTATTGCACTAATCCATGATATTCCAATGGGATAATGTCATTTATCAATATTGATTGGATATTCCAGTGATATCATGATATTCTAATTCATAATTTTTCCTTTACTATCCCATCAATTGGTGAAAAACAGTACATTGATATATCCTGTGGTATATCATCCAAAAATTGATTACAGTTGATTGTCTATACCCTTATATCATCTTATATCATCATTAGTATCCCATTAAAACATCCCATGAACTCACCCTGAGATACATACAAGATGGTGCCCCCTAGATAGCTAAGTTGATGCAAATAACTCCAATAACTCTTGGGTTTATGGTAGATATATCGAACTAGTTACCTGTTGGTTTTGACAACCAACCTTCACATCACTGGGGGCGACAATACCTACAGGATGCGCCCCAGTTATGTTTGCTGGTTTAGATTTACCCCATGAATACTATAGTTATCAGGGTACTATAGTTTATAACCCCCATGAATTCTATGGTTTTATGCTAGTTATAGTTCTCTAGTTCGTTATATCTACCATAAACATCCATAAACCCTGCGTTAATTCAGCCACTTTTTAAGGCGGCGAACGAATGCGAACGGCAGCTCGACTAAGGCAAGAGATCATGGCCAATGTCACGGAGAGAATCCAATCCGAAACCTTGGGACCCTTGGTGCAGGTCTGTAAGGTGCCGACCGCTGGAGGGTTTGGCAGGGTTTGGTGGGAGGTGTTTTTAGCGTTTTTAATGGGAGTATCTGAGATAGATATCTCTGATGTACCGGATAAAAGAATAGAAAAACCCCAAGATGGAACATTTTTTTTAAAGGTTTTGTGGAGTTCAGATGGACCAAGATGGAGATATCATTGGGGGGGTATGAAATTTTGGGGCTTTCTGCTGGTGGGATTGGTAGAAAATGGATGTTGTTGTCACATGGTATAGATGAGATACATAACAAACATAGAATACACAATGTACATACCACACATACTGTACACGCTATACATACTATACATGCTATACATACAATACATACAATACATACTATACATACTATTCGTACTGTACATGCTATACATACTATACATACTATACATGCTGTACATACTATACATACTATACATACTACACATACAATACATACCACACATACCACACATACCACACATACCACACATACTGTACATGCTACATACATACTATACATACACATACACATACCACACATACCACACATACCACACATACCACACATACTGTACATGCTATACATACTATACATACTACACATACAATACATACCACACATACCACACATACCACACATACCACACATACCACACATACTGTACATGCTATACATACTATACATACTACACATACAATACATACCACACATACCACACATACATATACATACACACACATACATACACATACATACCACACATACCACACATACTGTACATGCACATACATACTACACACATACTGTACATGCTATACATACTATACCACACATACACATACAATACATACCACACATACCCTACCACACATACCACACCTACTGTACATTCTATACATACTATACATATACTACACATACACATACCACACATACCACACATACCACACATACTGTACATGCTATACATACTATACATACTACACATACAATACATACCACACATACCACACATACCACACATACCACACATACCACACATACTGTACATGCTATACATACTATACATACTACACATACACATACCACACATACCACACATACCACACATACCACACATACTGTACATGCTATACATACTATACATACTACACATACAATACATACATACCACACATACCACACATACCACACATACCACACATACTGTACATGCTATACTATACATATACATACACATACACATACACACATACCACACATACCACACATACCACACATACCACACATACCACACATACTGTACATGCTATACATACTATACATACTACACATACACATACCACACATACACATACTACACATACAATACATACCACACATACCACACATACTGTACATGCTATACATACTATACATACTACACATACACATACATACCACACATACCACACATACAATACATACCACACATACCACACATACTGTACATGCTATACATACTATACATACTACACATACAATACATACCACACATACCACACATACTGTACATGCTATACATACTATACATACTACACATACAATACATACCACACATACCACACATACTGTACATGCTATACATACTATACATACTACACATACAATACATACTATACATACTATTCGTACTGTACATGCTATTCGTACTATACATACTACACATACAATACATACTATACATACTATTCGTACTGTACATGCTATACATACTATACATACTACACATACAATACATACTATACATACTATTCGTACTGTACATGCTATACATACTATACATACTATACATGCTGTACGTACTATACATAAGATACATACTACACATGCTATACATACTATACATACTATACATGCTATACATACTATACATGCTATACATACTATACATACTATACATTCCATATGTGCTTTACACGCTATACATGCTATAGACGCTATATGCATACATAAGCATAGAATTACACGTCTAAATCAGATAACTTTAGATATTCATTATATATATAGAGGCTATAAATAAGATCAAAGTTTGATCGCCATTTTATCTTGTAATAAACACAACAAACAATAATTCACTTAACCAACAATTTGTAGTGACTGTAACCTATTATCTCACAAACACAGCTTTGCAGGTGCTCATCGTTTTGCCGACAACTTCATAGGTATAAATTATATATAAGTATATATATATATAGAATATAGATAACCATAGATATAGATCAGCAGGATCACCAGACCCCGAAAGCAGGTGCTCATCGTTTTGCTGACCATCAGTCACTTCACGGGCTGTCTCTGGTTCGCCGTGGGCGCGCGCAACACGTCGGAGAGCACCTGGGTCAAGGTCCTCAGCTACGACACGCAGGGCGTCGATGCCCAGTACCTGGCTTCGTTGCACTGGGCCCTGTCGCAGTGCCGTGGCTGCCATGGAACAGGGCGATGTAACATAGGGATTTGGAAAATTTGTAACATAGGGATTTGGAATGGAGTGATTTCACCGCTAACTCTGAGAAGGCAGGTATATCTATGGGTGAAACTGAGGCAATTTGTGAATGGGCGCCCAAAATCTGTGCTGGGAAATGGTGGTTTTGATGCCAAATTGTTTCATAGGTAATAGCTGAGTTGAATTTACAAGCAGGCTAAGTCTTTCAGATTTAAACTTACACTACCAAGAGAAAAAACTGGGTGGATCCATAGAAATTGTAGCAGGAAACATGCGGATTCAAGATTATCTAACCAACTCTTTGATGGGTGTATATAGTAAAGCCAACAAAGAAAAATGGTGATGGGCATGGTAGAAAGGATACTCACATCCAGGCGAATGGATGGCCTCAGCCAAAGTTCTTCTGTGCAGGGAAGATTGGAAGATTAGTCACAGGGGAATACGGTATTGGAAGAGAAGATACACCTTCTAAATTCATCTAAATACAAGATGCCAAAACTTCAAAGCTTTGGACGATGCTGTTTTTCCCTCTTGGAAAGACGTCATTTTGTTTTGTGGTTTCCTGAACTTTCCCATGTAGAGTTGGTGAAGGGACTAGCCGCTAGTGGACATCGTCAAGGCGATCCATTTTGCGTTTCGGGATGGTGAAAACTCAGGTGCTGAGCATCTCTGCCAAATGACAAGCAGATTGCAGGGAGTTAGTTAGGAATTAACCACTATTAACCATTCTTAACCATTATTATCCATTATTATACATTATTAACCTTTACATGATCACTCAACAAAACTGGAACGTTTCATCACGGCCATGAAATCACCGAAAATTTGGGAAGATCTCATGGACCGAACACGGACCTTTAACCAGTCGCGCGTTTAGAAAATGGGGCCATGTCTGAACATAGGCTACCCGGCTACCCCTGTATCCACCTGTTTTTAGCATCATTATCATCATTAGGCATAAAAACAAATCCATGATGAATATCATCATCAAACAAACATCATTATCATCATTATGCCACTAATTTTTGAATAGCAATGTGTTTTTGTTGCCCCATTGACACAGACATCATTCCTATTGTTTAAACGGATGACGAGTCCCCATTCTGAATGTCAACCCAGTCGTCATCCTTCGAAAATCATCCTTTCTCATGGTTAGATTCATCATTTTTCCCAGGAAATTCCAACTAATGCGGGTAAAACAATGCCATAAACCTTCCCCCAGTCATCACCATTTGTATAGGTGGTATAGTATAAACCATTCCCAGTCATCGGTGGTAAACATGGCATTGTTTTACCCACATTATTGCTGGTTTTTATCCTTGATTTTGTGGCAAACTCTTCCTTCAGCGGAGACCACACTTTTTTGTGCGTGCTCGGCTAGGTTCTCAGGCGGAGATGACGGAGGGGCCGGAAAGTGACAAGGGAAAGCGACAAGGGAACCCGTAAATGATTGTTTATATATCCATATTAATATATATATAGGTTTCCTAAAATGGGGGTGCCCGCAAATCATCCTGAAAGAGAGACAATTTTAGTATATTTTAGTATTGAAACCCATGGCTTTTGGGATCCCTGATTTTAAGAAACTCCCATATTCTATATACCTGTAGTAATTACCGTATATTAATGGAATACAGATCCCACAAACACATGCAGTAAACGCACAAAATGCATGTATACATATGTGCCATACATTGTCTTTGTATGTATATACATACATACATACATACATGCATGCATGCATGCATGCATGCATGGATGCATGGATGCATAGATGCATAGATGATCATAGACGATCATAGACGATCATAGACGATCATAGACGATCATAGATGATCATAGATGATCATAGATGATCATAGATGATCATAGATGATCATAGATGCATCCATCCATCCATCCATCCATCCATCCATCCATCCATGCATGCATGCATGCTTGCAAACACCCACGCCCACACACACACACACCCACACACACACACACACACACGCGCACGCGCACACGCGCACACACACACACGTACACACGCACACACGCACACACGCAGACATCCATCCATCCATACATACATACATACCTACATACATACATACATTACATAACATTACATAACATTACATAACATTACATAACATTGCATAACATTACATTACATAGCATTACATAACATTACATACATTACATAACATTACATAACATTACATAACATTACATTACATACAATACATACATTACATACATTACATACATTACATACATTACATACATTACATACATTACATACATTACATACGTTACATGCATTACATACATTACATACATTACATACATTGCATACATTACATACATTACATACATACCTACCTACCTACCTACCTCCATACATACATACATACATACAGACATACATACAGACGACAGACAGACAGACAGACAGACAGACAGACGGACGGACGGACGGACGGACGGACGGACGGACAGACGGACAGACGGACAGACGGACAGACGGACAGACGGACAGACGGACAGACGGACAGACGGACAGACGGACAGACGGACAGACGGACAGACAGACAGACAGACAGACAGACAATACAGACAATACAGACAATACAGACAATACAGACAATACAGACAATACAGACAATACAGACAATACAGACAATACAGACAATACAGACAATACAGACAATACAGACAATACAGACAATACAGACAATACAGACAATACAGACAATACAGACAATACATACAATACATACAATACATACAATACATACAATACATACAATACATACAATACATACAATACATACACATACATACATACATTACATACATTACATACATTACATACATTACATACATTTACATACATTACATACATTACATACATTACATACATTACATACATTACATACATTACATACATTACATACTTACCTTACATACCTTACATACCTTACATATACATACCTTACACACCTTACACACCTTACATACACACCTTACACACCTTACACACCTTACACACATTACACACATTACACACATTACACACATTGCATACCTTACATACATTACATACATTACATACATTACATACCTTACATACATTACATACATTACATACATTACATACATTACATACATTACACACATTACATACATTACATACATTACATACATTACATACATTACATACATTACATACATTACATACATTACATACATTACATACATTACATACATTACATACCTTACATACATTACATACATTACATACATTACATACATTACATACATTACATACATTACATACATTACATACATTACATACATTACTTACATTACTGCATGCATGCATGCAGGCAGGCAGGCAGGCAGACAGGCAGGCAGGCAGGCAGGCAGGCATGCATGCATGCATACATGCATACATGCATACATGCATTACATGCATTACATGCAATACATGCATTACATACATTACATACATACCATACATTACATACATACCATACATACCGTACATTACATACATACCATACATGCCATACATACCATACAGACCATACATACCATACAGACCATACATACCATACCAACTTACATACATTACATTACATTACATTACATTTACATTACATTACATTACATTACACATTACATTACACATTACATTACACATTACATTACACATTACATTACACATTACATTACACATTACATTACACATTACATTACATTACATTACATTACATTACATTACATACATTACATACATACATACATACCGACCGACCCCGACCGACCGACCGACCGACCGACCGACCGACCGACCGACCGACCGACCGACCGACCGACCGACCGACCGACAGAGAGACCGACAGAGAGACAGAGACAGAGAGACAGAGAGACAGAGAGACAGAGAGACAGACAGACAGACAGACAGACAGACAGACAGACAGACAGACAGACAGACAGACAGACAGACAGCCAGACAGACAGACAGACAGACAGACAGACAGACAGACAGACAGACAGACAGACAGACAGACAGACAGACAGACAGACAGACAGACAGACAGACAGACAGACAGACAGACAGACAGACAGACAGACAGACAGACAGAGAGAGAGACAGACAGACAGACAGACAGACAGACAGACAGACAGACAGAGAGAGAGACAGACAGAGAGAGAGACAGACAGAGAGAGAGACAGACAGAGAGAGAGACAGACAGAGAGAGAGACAGACAGAGAGAGAGACAGACAGAGAGAGAGACAGACAGAGAGAGAGACAGACAGAGAGAGAGACAGACAGAGAGAGAGACATAGAGACAGAGAGACAGAGAGACAGAGAGACAGAGAGACAGACAGACAGACAGACAGACAGACAGACAGACAGACAGACAGACAGACAGACAGACAGACAGACAGGCAGACAGACACACAGGCAGACAGGCAGACAGGCAGACAGGCAGACAGGCAGACAGACAGGCAGGCAGCCAGGCAGGCAGGAAGGCAGGCAGGCAGGCAGGCAGACTGGCAGACAGACAGACAGACACACAGACACACAGACGCACATGTATGGATATGTATCTAGATGTAGATGTACAGCCACTACATACCTGTGTCTTCAAACCCCATCTTGTGCACAGTCAAAAGCCACCTTTTCCTCCTGTTTACTGCCAATTTCTTGGGATCTAGGCCTATCTTTGCTTGTTACCCCCATCTTTTGTAGGTCCCTGCTTGAAACTCCCATTCGGCGCTGAGACATTTCTAATTTTTGCAGCCTGTACCTCAAGACTTTGGCTTTTTTTAGCCGCCATCTACTTTCGTTGATGAACATCTTCATTTCTTTTGCTCGACATGTCTTGTTTCTCTGCCGAACCCGCCATGAAAGAGTTCATCATTTCCATTTGACCACGTGACATCCTAATGCTTGTGGTCTAAAATCATCGTCTTCAAGCATTCCAAACCACTCGAATTTATTTTCTCATTTCCAAATCCATTCCCTAGTTTTTCCCCCAGATTTTTTCCTTCAACAAATTATCCAACAATTCTATGAGAATTACTGCGCCGTGACCCCGTAAGCCCAGCATGTCACCACCCCCACCGGTTCCATCATATATCGCCTGAACTTTCCCCACAAAGACGAGACGATTATCCCCATATCTTATAGGTGAAATGCCAGAAAATCTACCATTCAATTATTTAATCATCCTCTTTTTTCCTAGATCAGTTTCAATTTTTCCCCATGATATCCCATGAAATCCCACACCTTTTCGTAGAAAACTCCTGATTTTTCGAACAAAAACGCTCAGTTTTCCTGCAAAAAAACACCACTTTTGTCCCAATTTCCCCTTGCCTCTAATCTAATCCACTGGGGATATTCCATGAACATCTAACTGGGGGATGCTGGGAGTATATGTACATATATATATATATATAGTTTATTTATATATATATATATACAATATATAAAATAAAATAAAATAATATAATATAATACAATATCATATAATATAATAAAATATAATATGATATAATATGATATAATATGATATAATATGATATAATATAATATTATATAATAAAATATAGTATAATATAATATAGTGTAGTAAAATATAATATAATATAAAATAATATAATATAATATAATAAAATATAATACAATATAGTATAGTATAATATAATATATTTTATATATAACATATAATATTTTACAATATATATATATATATAACATATAATTTCATATACAATATAAAAAATAATATATGAGATATGATATATGAGATATAATAAATGAGATATGATATATGATATAAAAGATATGATTCATGATATATGATATATAATTTATGATATATGAGATATTATAAATAATATATGATATATGATATATGAAATATGAGATGTGATATTTAATATATGATATATGATATATGATATGTGATGTATAATTTGTAATATTTGAGATATACTTTATAATATATGATATTTGATATATGAGATATGATATATGATTTATGAGACATGATATTTGAGATATGATATATGATATATGATATGTGATGTATAATATATAATATTTGAGATATGAGAAATGAACTATGAGATAAAATATATAATATATGATATATGAGATATGATATATGAGATATGATATTTGATATATAATATATGATATATACTATATGAGATATGAGATATGATATTTGGTATATGATATATGATATATATAATATATCATATTTAATATACGATATATAATATATAATATTTAATATACAAAATACAATAAAATATATGAGATATGAGACATAATATATGAGATATTAGATATGATATATGATATATAAAATAGGGGTTTTTATATATAATATATAATATATAATATACAAAATATAATATATAATATATGAGATATGAGACATAATATATGAGATATTAGATATGATATATGATATTTAATATATGAGATTTAATGTAAAATATATTATATAAACTATATAATATATAATATATATATAATATATTATTTGTGAGATATGAGATATGAGATTTGAGATATGAGATATGAGATATAATATATAATATATAATATATAATATATAATATATTATTTGTGAGATATGAGATATGAGATTTGAGATATGAGATATAATATATAATATATAATATATTATTTTTGAGATATGAGATTTGAGATATGAGATATGAGATATAATATATAATATATAATATATTATATATAATATACAATATATAAATATAATATATAATATATAATATACATATATCAATCCAACAACGATTCCTAGGGCCCGCTGCGTACTCCAGGCGGCATGGACGAGATCTCCCCCGCCTCTGCACTGGAGCGACTCTTCGCCGTGGCCGTGGGCGGTTTGATCTTCGTGGTGGCGCTTGTGTCCTGGCCGTAACCCGTGGGGAACCCGTGGGGAACCCGTTGGATTTGGGGATTTTTGGGCAATGAAATGGGAGAAAACGGGAGATTTCATGGGAAAATCATGATAGATACTTAATGATTTTCACGGGATATTGCAAAAAAATGGGAGATTCAATCATTGATAAGAATGCATATCTCATGGGATATTTCATTGGATTTATGTACCACGAAATCAAACGTGGCTAGCTGGGAAATACCCAAACTAAATGGTGTTTCGATTGTTTCATTCCAAATGCAGTGAACGCGTTTTTCTTTTTGCAAGATTTTCACGTTTTGTTTTGTGGAAAATCTGGATTTTGGTGGTGAAACCATGAAATCTCAAGGTTTATTCTTATTCGTTATTCTTGGTGAAAGACCGCAATTTTATTGGTTTTACCTCAGACTGAAGCTTTCACCAGCCAAAAGAGGATGATTTCCCCAAACCCTGCAATTTTGATAGGTAACACCGCAATTTTTCTGGTGAGTCAAGTCGTGAACCAGAAATTTCTGCAATTTTTTCCACATTCTTTGGGTGGTTCGCACATCCATAATCCCATCCCAGCTGAAATTTTTGGTGGTTTTCACTGCAGGAGTTCCCAGTTATGTGAAGGTTGGTTATCTAAACCACAGTAAGTAGTTCCATATATCTACCATAAACCCAGTGAAATTGGAGTTCTGTTCTATTCGCCAACTTAACTATCTAAATCTGAATTCCATCAAATCCTTTTCGAAATTCGCATGCACTCACCATGAAATTCCGATCTATATCTTGCAGGTCCTAAGTTATACCCCAGTATACCCCATTACATCACCATTAAATCCTCTTACCAGATAAACAACCAGTTTGCTATTGAAAATGGATGAAAATGGTGATTTATAGTTGATTTACCCATAGCATGGTGATTTTCCATAGTTATGTATGTTTACCAGAGGGTAAATTCCCATGAAATCACCATTAGATCCTCTTAAATCCCATTAAATCACTATAACAATCCCATTAAATCACTATAAAATCACCATTAAGTCACCATGAAATCACCGTTGAAATCCCCAGGTCATGGTGGGCGTCTTCACCTCGGGGCTGACGCAGCAGTACATCATCGGTGGCAGCGGCGCGCGACAGCTGGCCACGTTGAAGCGATATCTCAAGCAGAACAACGTCTCCAAGGCGACCACGACGCTGGGAATGATATGATAATAGTACTATAGTTATGATAATAGTAGATAACTATTATCTAGATATAGTTGATAATAGTTGATAATAGTTGATAATAGTTGATAATAGTTGATAATAGTTGATAATAGTTGATAATAGTTGATAATAGTTGATAATAGTTGATAGACTATAGATGTGATAGTTGATAGTTGACAATAGTTGACAATAGTAGACGATCATGGTTGGCAGTTGATGGTAGTACTGTTAATAGTAATAGAATTCCCAAAGACCTTAAACAAAGGTGGGTAAAACAATGTCATAATAAACCACCCATGACTGGGAATGGTTCATACTATATCACCTATATATTTATGGTTATGACTGGGGGATGGTGCACATGGCATTGCTTTACCCACATTAGCTGATACTGATAATGCTTGGTCGATAGTAGTAGTTATTCCCAGAGACATGATATTTACCCTATGGTAAAAGTTTACATAACTATGGAAAACCACCATTTCCAATGGTAAATCAATTATCAGTTGCCATTTTGGATAGCTATGTTAAACTACCAGAGGGAATGGCTAATATTACGGCCAGACGCCTTGTGTTGCCCGGAGATTTACAAGGACGTTCCCATGATGATATGAAGATATCTTACATGTTAGATCCCATATCAATATAGAGTTCAAGGGAGTGGCGGATTTTACTACCTCATGATGATATGAAGATATCTTACATGTTAGATCCCATATCAATATAGAGTTCAAGGGAGTGGCGGATTTTACTACCTCATGATGATATGAAGATATCTTACATGTTAGATCCCATATCAATATAGAGTTCAAGGGAGTGGCGGATTTTACTACCTCATGATATAGAAGCTTACATGTTAGATCCCATATCAATATAGAGTTCAAGGGGGTGGCGGATTTTACTACCTCATGATGATATGAAGATATCTTACATGTTAGATCCCATATCAATATAGAGTTCAAGGGGGTGGCGGGGATCTTACATGTTAGATCCCATATCAATATAGAGTTCAAGGGGGTGGCGGATTTTAATACCTCATGATGATATGAAGATATCTTACATGTTAGATCCCATATCAATATAGAGTTCAAGGGGGTGGCGGATTTTACTACCTCATGATGATATGAAGATATCTTACATGTTAGATTCCATATCAATATAGAGTTCAAGGGGGTGGCGGATTTTACTACCTCATGATGATATGAAGATGTCTTACATGTTAGATCCCATATCAATATAGAGTTCAAGGGAGTGGCGGATTTTACTACCTCATGATGATATGAAGATATCTTACATGTTAGATCCCATATCAATATAGAGTTCAAGGGAGTGGCGGATTTTAATACCTCATGATGGTATGAAGATATCTTACATGTTAGATCCCATATCAATATAGAGTTCAAGGGGGTGGCGGATCTTAAAAAACTCATGATGATGTGAAGATATCTTACATGTTAGATCCCATATCTTCCATATCTTAGAAATAGCCCACAGCCACCGCGTGTTGCCGATAATAATAATAATATCAGCATCATCATCATCATCTTCATCATCATCATCATCATTATCTAACAACATCTAACGTGTCAGTTGTGGGTCTGGGCAACACACGGTGTCTGTGGGTAATATTAGGTTGAGAATTATCATACATTTCCAAGTCGACGACGGCGCAGGGTTTTGCTTTGTTTCTTTTAATGTTTGGTTGATGGATGTTGATGGGATATGGGGATATACTGAAAACATATGGAATGATTGGGTTGATGATTGGGAATGTGTTAGACTTTTTGATGGTTGATTGATATAATAATGGACATATAATGGAAATACAATAGACTATAGACATATAACGGTTAAGAGAAAATAGATAAGAATTGTTGAAAATAACTATAATTGCTGATAATTGCTGATTATTGCTGATAATAGTGATAATAGTGATTATAGCCATGGTGGTGATGCCTATAATATTATAGTCGTTAATTATTAGCCATAATAGTGCTTAATACTACATGATTTTTTGATGTCTGGGTATGTTCCATGGTTAACATAATACCACATGGTTAATGATTAATAATAATAATGCCAGTAGTACCGCACAAGGCGGTGGCGGAAGTTTCAGAATAGGAAACCTATAGGAGAGCTTGGTTGTTGTGGATCACGGATGGCAGAGCGAATCCACTGATGGACTGAAAGGTGCTTGGAGTTGTGTTTTAGGGAGTGGCTACAATGGTTGCAGTGGTCACCTGGTCGGTCACCTCACTCACAACTGCTGGATGTAGTGTGGTGTAGTGCAGCTGTAGTTGTAGTTGTAGTGGAATGGAACTGTAGTTGTGGTGTAGTGTAATTAATGTAGTGTAGTTGCAGTTGAATTTGTGGTGGTGTAATGAGTGTAGTGTAATGTAATGTAGGGTAGTGTAGTGCAGTCTAGTGTAGTGTAGGTGTAGAGTAGCGTAGTTGTAGTTGTAGTTGTAGTTGTAGCTGTCGTTGTAGTTAGTGTAGTGTAGTGTGGTGTGGTGTGGCGTAGTGTGGTGTAGCGTAGTGTAGTGTAGTGTAATGTAATTAGTGGGGTGTAGTGTAGTTGTAGTTGCAGTTGCGGTTGTAGTTAGTGTAGTGTAGTGTAATTGAGTGTAGTGTAGTGTAGTGAAGTGTAGTGTAGTGTAATTGAATGTAGTGTAGTGGAGTGTAGTGTAGTGCAGTGGTTGTAGCTGAAACCGCGACAAAACCTTCACATTTTGCTCACTTTTGGCAAGGTGCAGAATCCCTTGCGCCTGCCACGCAAAACGACATCTGAACGTCCAAAAGTGGTCTGAGACGGTCAGTTCTTAACACTTTTGACTTCGAAATGTGCTTCGCCACAACGTGCACTTTTTCGACATCGCAACTTCCAAAAGTGTTCCGACCCTGGTGTGTTTTGTACATTTTGACTTGGAAATGTGCTTCGCGCCACAGCGGCGTGCGCTTTTTCGACATCTCAACTTCCAAAAGTGTTCCGACCCTGGTGTGTTTTGTACATTTTGACTTGGAAATGTGCTTCGCGCCACAGCGGCGTGCGCTTTTTCGACATCTCAACTTCCAAAAGTGTTCCGACCCTGGTGTGTTTTGTACATTTTGACTTGGAAATGTGCTTCGCACCACAACGGCGTGAAATTTTTCATCTCTCATCTGGCCACATGGCTCCGCACCCGCCGCTTTAGCGAGCCTACTTTTCGACCCTCCGGAGCCACAAACCATTGGAGAAACATGGTGTTTCGTGACTTTCCTACCTTTTCGCGCACCTGCATCTTCTTTCTTCTCACTCTTTCTCTTCTCTGATCTTCTCTGTTCTGCTCTTCTCCTCTCTGACTCTTCCCACCTCTGCTTTTTCATCTGTCCATATTGTCGGAAGTTTGGCTTCTAAACTTCCTTCGGACAATAAAAAGAATAGATGATAATAGTAATAGCAATAATAATAAAAATGGGAATCCAATGTTTTTGGAATGGGAATAACTACAATAGCCACTAGTAGTGATTAATAGTCAACAATTCTGGTTGATAATAGCAATATTTATGGATGAAAATTATGGGAGATATTGGAGATGGAATGATTGGATTGAGTTTTTGATTTGGTTGATTTTTGATAGACATAGAATAGTTGGATATTTTCTGGAAATTCAGGGAATGGATTAATATCAATAAATGGGATTCCGATTTTTTTTGATGCGCTTGGGTAAAACAAATGGATGAATGGAATTTTGGATGGTTGGACAATAATCATAATAATGCAATAATAACAATAACAATTTCATGCCACATTGATTGGTTGAGTTGGTGTTTTTTGATGATTGGTTGATTAGTTGATGAGACATAATGGGGATACACTGTGGGATGTATGGATTGTTGGGTTGATGATTGGGTTTGGTGGTTTGGATTTTCTTGTTGTGTGTGACTTTTGAAACTTTGCATCCCTAGAAATCCGAGTTGATGATTGGGAATGATTGGGTTGATGATTGGGGGTTAATGGTTGGGTCGATGATTGGTTGAGGGCAGCTATTGGTTGATTGGTTGATGGTCCGGTGACGGAGCGGGAACGATTTGGAGCAACCAATTGAGTTTCCCAACCACATGATAGTTGGTTGCGTGATGGCAGTTTTTGGTTGTTCTAAGAAAGGGGTTAACCAACAAACATGGGGATATTGTATGATTTGAGAGTGATGATATGTATTTGGTTGATTGGTTGATGATTATTAACATTTGACATCATTTAACCATTTTATTGGGATCTTAAATCAAAAAACATACAAACATGGAAATTAACACACATGGAACAATGGTTACTGACAATGTGGCGTGGTTGATTGGTTGCTGATTCTTTGCCAAAAATATCGGGATACAACGCGGATATCTTGGGATGTATTTGGCATCCAAAAATGATGATCCACAACAATAAACAAATGGGGAATTGGGGTCAACACATCTTATTTAAAAAAACACATAGAATCATTAAATCAATCTCTAAAGTGTTCGGACTTTTGAGAATGGGTAACTTTAAAACATGCGCTTTTGAATGAACAGGAGTTGGGGTCGTCTGTGGGCAATTGGTTGTGACATAGTCCCATCCCAATCCATGGTGAGTTCACCAATTGGGGTATACCCCCTAGAATTATGGCATATTATGGAGACATTATGGATATATAAAGTGTATATATTATGGATATATAGCATTATAGCCACTTAGTTGGGATAGCAAAAAAGACATGCTTCGACCTTCTGGATGCTCATGCAATTTTTTTCAGGTTTCGCCTCTCTGAATTGGATGATATGGACATCTACAGGAAACCCAGAAAAATTAGGGGTCGTTCATCATGCAGGATGGGGCCCCCCAGATATGTTTGTTGGTTTATAAACCCCATGAATACTATAGTCTATAGTCTATACTTATTTATATTTATATCTACCATAAACCATAGTTAAACCACTTGTAAGGCAACTTAACTATCTTGGGGGCCCCATCCTGTGGTTTCCCCAAGATTTTTCCCTTGAAACACTGACGATTCAACTGGCATGATTCTCCAAGCTGTACATAAGGAAGCGTGTGTGCCGCAACGCCAAGCATGCAATCTCAGGCAGATGGAAGGGCAAGGTGAGTTGAAGTTAAGGTGAGTTTTGCGTAGCAAGACTCCCTTTTCACATGAATAGTTTCTGAGCAGTTTCAAAAATGCTGGCCTTGGTCGGTAATGATGGGGGGTTGTAACTGGTAAGCATGATGTTGTACCATGTTATACGATTATACTACCCTTTATAGATTGGGGATTCCGATAACCCACGAAATCGGAATACCCATAGACCAACCATCATAGTAGGGTGTTTTCCAGCAGTGTTTTGGCATTGCTGGATAGCAATGATAGAACAGTATGAACGGTTTTCATATGTCTCCTTTGTTGCTATCACCATCATGGAACATTTGATACCCAGCAAAATTATGTTCCTGATTTTTGAACGGCATCTAAAACAAACCATGCTTGGGAATAGTTACTGGAACCACTATCTTCATTTATGGTCTGGATATTTTGTTGTAGGCGACCGAGCATGGCTGATGAAGTCTGTGGCGAGCCATGCTATTGATGGCAGCAAATTCATTCTTGCAATTACTTACCCTCTGGTAATGACTAACAGTTCGCGAACTGGAAAATGGCCTATAGAAATAGTTGATTTTCCCATGAAAAACATGGTGATTTTCCATAGTTATGTAAACGTTTACCAGGCCGGGTATCTGATATCCAGATTTCCACAGCAAGCCATTCCAACCGTTGGATGTTGCCGGGATATCTCAGCAGGGGCTAATCATGGCTAATCCAACTCCACCGGACTTGGAATGTTACCCTGGTAAACGTTTACATCGCTATGGAAAATCACCATTTTTAAATGGGAAAACTCACTATTTCTATGGCCATTTTCCAGTTCGCGAACTGTTAGTCATTTCCAGAGGGTAGGTGCGAAAAAAGGGGGTTTCCGAAAAAAAGGTACGGCCAAGTTTGATGGTCAATCATCATCCCACTCGAAATTGCAACTTTGCAGGTATGCTTCCTCCATTTTTTGGGGACCCACAATTTTCCAATGCATTAAAATGGGGCCAGTTTTTCTGGAACGAAAACTCACCCAACAATGCAAAAATGGCTACTCCAGCGGAGCTTGCCGAATCATCTGGCCCAGTTGTGGATTTTGTAGTTGAGTCCATCAACCAATTGGTTACGACTGCTCGACTTTTAAACTTTCATGCTTCGATTTCCAAGACATCACCAATCCTTTTTTTTTTGGGTTATTTTGCGACCAAATCAAAACCCGAATTTTGGGGCCTTCCGGCCTTGCCGTTTCTCGTTTCGCCAGGGGATTTGACACCCGAATCGGTGGAGCTCTTGCACGTGATCTCGGAACCTCTGAAGGTGGAGCTTGCCTATGTCACTGGGCGCTTCGAAAAGCCGGTTGGCCCCACCCTCGTGGAAAAACCTGTGGTTTATATTAATCTAATCCATATTTCATCCTATATACTGTAGATCCACATATATATATATATATATACACATGTATATATATATACACATGTATATATATATACACATACACATATATATATACATACATATATATATATACATATATATATATATGTATATACATACATATACATATATATATATTTACATATATATATATATATACATATATATATATGTATGTATATAAATAAGTAATCCATATTTCATCCAATATAGAATAGGGGATATTCCATATATCTTGACCTGGGAGACATCCCCCATGGGGCTTCGCCTGGGACCTGGTAGCGTCATAACTGGTGAATGTTTCTTCCCCTATGGATCCAGCTGACAGCATCCATTTCTAATTTTTGAGCCATTGAAATTTAGCCTCTGGTTATTTAACAGTTTGCCATGGAAAATCAACATTTTATAGCTAGGTAAACCATCTATTTCTATGGGCCATTTTCCATGGCTATGTTAAATATCAAGATGGCAGTTTTTTTTTTTTGTGTTGAGGGATTTAACAAGACTGGAAGAATATTCGGTGCATCCACTTGGTTGTAGGTGAGTCCAGTCACCAGTCAAGAGTCAAGACAAACATATGCTCTTTATCTGTACATATGTATACATTTTCCTATAATCTAATAATACACACAGACCCCGAGGTTTGCCCAAGCCCAGAATAGCGTAAACTACCAGGATTTTTTGTTCACATTATACATATCATATGAATTCTCCTACCCCAGTTAAACTTCTACATTCACTGAAGATCTTCAATAAGGGTTTAGCACATGTTGCTTATGTGGAGCATATTGGTTACCACCACCACCACCATCATCATCATCATCATCATCATGATCATCACTCCTGGGCACTCGTTGCGAGTCCGGGCAAACCTCAGGGTCTTGCCGTAATAATATCATATATATATATGTATATGTAAATAAGATATGTTATATAAATGTGTATGTACACACACATACACTGTATGTACATTTGCAAGGTCATGCACACACACATCTATACACATACATACACATACACCTGTGTAGGTCTCCAAACATGTGGCCTTCTTGCACCAAGACATCCTGGATTGGAATAATCCTTTGGACCTTTCCCACAGGGAAAATGGGCTCTATTGATAGAAACATTTGCGTTTTTGGTCGACTTCAGTTCTTCTTTTTTGTGAAAGCAGCAGCTAGAGTGGTCGCACTTTTCTGAGCATCCAAGGACATGTACTCGCAGGTTCTGATGTGGCATCCCTTCTTTTTGGAGCTCCTGCAAGAAAACTCACCCCTGATGCGTCCCATTTGCCACCGAGCGATGTCTATGTTATTGCTCTCCAGCACGGACATCATTTTCAACTTGGGCGAGGAGGGCACCATTGGTACAAGGGAAATGGGAAGAACCTGACTTTTCTTTGGCAAAGTGATGTTCATTTGGGGGTATGTTCCGCCGCATCGGCTTTTGGCCCTGCTTAGAAAAATAGGTTTAATAGGAGATTTTTGGAGCCCTGCAGCTTTCTGAACATTTCGCAGAGCCACCCCAAAACCTAGTGACTCGATCAAACTTGTCATTTTTTGGGCTTTAATGGTGGATCCAATCTCCACTTTGTGGTTTATTGGTGGACATAGCCTACTTAGAACGATTCATATGGCCCACAGGTGCTTTTCCCAAGTGGGTCCTACCGGGTATGCTTCATGATTGTGGATCCCAAATCAGTACCGCATTTTTGAGACACAGCCTCATACCATATTGTGGGCTGCTGTTTTTCCCAATTGTCATGCAAAAAAACGATATCCCATGATGTTCCGGTAGAATGCTTGGTTAAAAAACTACTGATCTATATGATCTATCCACCAGGAAATCCTTGGGACATCTTCAGTTATGAAGGATTCATCCATATCATCCATGTCATACTTGGTGGCTCATCCCACGAATCGTAAGTGGGTTATAACCCCATGTCATCCGCAAATCCACGTCCCGGAGGCTCCTCAGTGGGGTGCGCCCACGTTTTTTCACGGTTCCTGGGCGGATCCCCCCCAAAATACTTCGCATGAATATCCCCCCCCAAAAATATCCCCATAGAAGATCCCATAGAATCCCATGAAGATCATCTCAAATCCCAAGAAATCCACCAGAAATCCCCATCAAATCCCAGCAAATCATGTGAAAAACACCCCCAATAAATCATCCCATCGAAATCTTCAGGAGCCCGCGGAGCCTAAGATGTACGTGGTTGTCTCTGGCACCTTAGAGACCCTCGGTGATTGACCTTGGAGTGAAGAAAAGGGGGACTTCAACCAGATTTCATCAAGAAAAATGGGGATTGAATGAGATTTAAGGCATTTAACCAATGGGTTTTTTTCAGCAGATTGAATGATTTTTTGTCGGGAACCATTTTTAGCAGCCGTTGGCTGAATCGTGATTCAACCTCATTTCATCAACAATTAAGTGGTACTAAATAGCCATGAAACATGGTTGTGTTTCATGGGGATACCATGGGGGATTTTTCAGATTTTTCACCAGCATCTGTAGGGGTTAAACAAATCATCAAGCCGGAGAAGTACTTCTTGATGGTTTTTCTTGGTTCTAAAAACTAGCAGTGACTAGCGGCATTTTCTTCACCTACCTGGGCATGAATTTCACCTACCTGGCGTAATAAGGGGACTGTGAACCAATATTTCACGGGATGAGGGAATTTTTCATGAGTCCCAAACGTTGTTTTGGCTCAGGCTCCTTTGATGAAGAAATATCTTGTCATACTTCAAGTTTGCGTTTCCTTTTTCTCTTACTAGTTTGTGTTTTTAAATCTATTTCTTCAAGAGTAGCCAACATTTTGATGGAGGGATGAGTACAATATCATAATAAGGTCAGCGCTGTAAAGGGCATTCACAGGGGGATCTGTCCACAGTTCACTGTAGTTGTGGTACTGATAGTTGCAACTCTCATGTGATTTGGATCAGGCTCTGGGATCCAAGTCTATTGTGGGATTTCCTCGCGTGCGAGGCAGAATAGTATGAGATCTCTCCAACCAGCAGGATAAGACAGCCACATGAAGGTAGTACTAACCAACATGATGGATCAATGAAGACAACACGGGCACCAGCCGGTTACGAAAAATCGCAATGCTTGGCGATAATTACTTTATTCGATCGGCCAATCTCACCAGGGACCGTGGAAGGTCCGAAGATGCGTTTACGCACAAATCATTGATATCTTCAGCAGTGAATCGTCGTATTAATTAGGGGTTTCCTAAGTCATGGGGGTATTCCCAGTTCTGATCCATTTTATTTTTTTGGATTTTCCATGACACTCAGCTACGCGGCTTCGTCCAAGGTACACAGATAGCTATGGCGAGGTCACTTCCGTGGGCGAGAAGCGTCATTTGGCACCTTGCCGAAAAAGGACGTTGCACTCGGAGTGGGGTTCCCGACTTGGAGCTAATGAACATACTATATCCCACATGTATATATATATATATTCATATATATATATATACAAGATACACATACTGTAGGAACAGCCTCCGCCCTCAGTTAGGTTCATGGGTTGTTATAAAAATGATTCCTGGGTCCTGCACATTCCCTGGTGCAGCTCAGGCCCCCCAAATGATGGGCTCCTACCCTCGGAAACCAGATTTTGTTTCGAAGATTTTTTGGTCAAAAAAAAGGATGGGGCCCCCAGTCGAGCTCGCGTTCAGTTGCCTAGAAAAAGCGGCTGAATTCTATGGCTTATTGTAGATATAACTATAGATAACTATAGTTAATGGGGATTTTAAACAAGCTTATAACTGGAGGGCCCTATCCTGTAGGGGAGATTGGAATTAGTTGTGATTCTAGCCATGAAATTCAATGATTTGTTGAAGGCGCACTGAGGTACGCCTGGGGGGTTTTCACATTTTTGGGGCACAAACATATTCCTTGCTGGTCGAAGCATTACATTCAAACGATAAATGTAAGGCACCCCACATTCTTTCAAAGTCCCATTTTTGCTAAAGAATCAGAATCTTTGTTCAACTTCACATTTTCAGCGCAAGAAAAGCATCTGTGTGTTGTAGCTCCTTGCCACAGCCAGATGTGGGGGAAGCTGGACTTGCAACCAAATGGCCGCTCGTTACAGTAGATTTTCAAGTTAGTGAATTACTGTAATTCAGCCGGATTATGTACATATGTAACATATACATACATAAACATATCTATCTATCTATCTATCTAGCTCTATCTAGCTCTATCTAGCTCTATCTATCTATCTATCTATCTATCTATAATCTATCTATCTATCTATCTACCTATCTATCTATCTTTCTATCTATCTATCTATCTAGCTCTATCTATATATCTAGCTCTATCTATCTAGCTCTATCTATCTATCTATCTATCTAGCTCTATCTATCTATCTATCTATCTAGCTGTATCTATCTATCTAGCTGTATCTATCTATCTCGCTGTATCTATCTATCTAGCTGTATCTATCTATCTAGCTGTATCTATCTATCTAGCTGTATCTATCTATCTAGCTGTATCTATCTATCTAGCTGTATCTATCTATCTAGCTGTATCTATCTATCTAGCTGTATCTATCTATCTAGCTGTATCTATCTATCTAGCTGTATCTATCTATCTAGCTGTATCTATCTATCTAGCTGTATCTATCTATCTAGCTGTATCTATCTATCTAGCTGTATCTATCTATCTAGCTGTATCTATCTATCTGTATCTATCTATCTGTATCTATCTATCTGTATCTATCTATCTGTATCTATCTATCTATCTCTATCTATCTCTATCTATCTCTATCTATCTGTATCTATCTGTATCTATCTGTATCTATCTGTATCTATCTGTATCTATCTGTATCTATCTGTATCTATCTGTATCTATCTGTATCTATCTGTATCTATCTGTATCTATCTCTATCTATCTCTATCTATCTCTATCTATCTCTATCTATCTCTATCTATCTGTATCTATCTCTATCTATCTCTATCGATCTATCTATCTATCTATCTAGCTCTATCTATCTATCTATCTATCTCTATCTATCTATCTATCTAGCTCTATCTATCTAGCTCTATCTATCTATCTATCTAGCTGTATCTATCTATCTATCTGTATCTATCTGTATCTATCTCTATCTATCTCTATCTATCTCTATCTATCTCTATCTATCTCTATCTATCTGTATCTATCTCTATCTATCTCTATCGATCTATCTATCTATCTATCTAGCTCTATCTATCTATCTATCTATCTCTATCTATCTATCTATCTAGCTCTATCTATCTAGCTCTATCTATCTATCTATCTAGCTGTATCTATCTATCTAGCTGTATCTATCTATCTCGCTGTATCTATCTATCTAGCTGTATCTATCTATCTAGCTGTATCTATCTATCTATCTATCTCCATAGAGTATCCCCATTGAAATATCATAAGGTGATAGATTTACCATCAATAATAGAGTATAGGTGATAGAGTATACTCTAATATACATATATCACCTATATGGTATATATATATATATATATATTTACCACCATATTCTTGCTTGTGCACGTATCCCAGCTATTTTTAACAGCTATTATTCACTACTGTAACTTTCACTTACCATAACCGAAGTAACGCAAAGGGGATGTTCATTTGAATTTATATTTCAACTACTGCAATATCACCGTTGAACACATCACATCGCCCTTGGCATACATTAAAGAAGAACAAATCCGCCTTGGCATGCCCGTTGCATATTTGAAGCTCATGTATCAATAGCCTTCGACCATGCGCGGCGAGCACCTCCAGAGCAATGTCCTCCAGAGCAATGTCGAACTGGGGCAATCTGTCGCCGCCGGGTGCAGAGGAGAACGCGTCAAGGCTTCACCCAGCTTGGGCACATATGTGGGCACATGGTCGGCTGCCGCTGGTGCGCGGCCAGCCCCTGCTGGCGCCTGCCCAAGGTCTCCTTGCCAGAAGCTGCAGCGCACTTCCAGGATCTGCCCACGGTGGCACAAAGTCAGCACTCGGGCCTTCGGATGGGACCATTGCCTCGGCTCATTTGGCTTTTGTTGGGCACATTGGTGCACATTTCGCCGCCAGTGATGAGCTTGGTGGGCGTTTACGGTTTACTCAGGAGGTGCCCGTTGGATTTCTGTGCCACATGCAGCTGCTCTTGGCGTGCTGGCTTCCTCAAACTGCACTTGGCCCTCTTTGGCTTTGGCGTCTGCTTTTCTCTGATTTGTGGTCTATGTTTCAACCAGAGTGAGGCATGCAGAGTAGAAGCCAGGGTTTGTTAATCCTAACGCCCCACGCAAGCAGCAAGGTCCAAGGTAGCACATGCTTGCGTTCAGACCTTTGCATAATTTGCTCAAGTTTTGTCTACATGGATGCGGCAGCTTCTGAAAAAAGTTTGCACTGCACCTCTGCACTGAGCCTTCGAACGATTCACGTATGCGCCGGGTTGCCGTTTTTCCATGCACAAAGCCAAAGCTGCCGCATTGGCACAAGTTTCGCTCACTCTTATACCGTTTTTGCTTCACCCAAGCTTGCGCAAGATGCGGCTATGAAGCTTCGACGTCATGGCTCAGCAAAATTCGGGAGCAATTCGTCAAGCACCGGACGCACGGTCCACACCGTCGGCTGCACGGCACTGCGACCAGCGACTTTGGCCGTGAGTGCGGAGTTCCGCCTCTGCCAACGGTGTGTGAAAGGGCCGCCAGAACCGACCCACCTCTTGTTCTTGAACAAGCATGATACGTACTGCCTCGCGCATCGCGACCCCGGCTGTGTTTACATCGGCAATGCAGGGTTCGATGTCGCGACGGTGTGCGGGATTTGCTGGCGAGGCTGGAGCGCAGATACCCTCCACCAGCCAGCATGCAGCATGGCAGCCACGAGTGCATCAAGCGCGGCGAGCCCGGGCGCAAGTTAATTCATGCGGACGCCGCCGCAGACACAGAAAAGCTTAGCGTTCAGAGGCCGCAGCACTGCAATGTGTACAGACGGAACGGTGCATCAAGCATATATTACATTCAATCCGGGGACTTTAAATCACCGCGTGGTGAAGAAGAGACAAAAGGATCGAAAGCAGGAAGCGCTAGAGATGCCTGCTGCACCTTACACAACGGCCTTGTAGGACTTAACCAACTGTAGACACCACAAGGTCTTTCTCATACTGAAGCATCGGGCTCCTTTCTGGAGAAAAAGAATGCTGCAGCGAAATGTCCGTGCAAATCAGGACCCCGGCCACGTGTGCAAACATGTGAAAGTGCCACATGCACGACAGTGCAGTGCGTTCACAAAGTCGTATGGAATACATCGGTGCATGTGGCGATGCAGTTGCAATGTGTCTTTTTACGCCTGCACAGATCAATCACGTCAACAGACTGCATGGTGAGCACTGAAACTTGCTATCAGATACACGGCACATACGAACATAGCTGCATGTTCTCGGATCTCCCGTGGCTCCAGCAGTGCAGACACCAAGCAATTCACATAGCCCGCTCTCGCGTCGTTGCTTTGAGTGCTGGTGTTCGCCATGGCGCCAAAGCAGACAAAGAAGGACGAGCAGAACAAGCAACCGAATGACAAGAAAGAAAACTTCATCATGAAGTACCGGCTATGGGCCAAAAGCGCCCTGGCGCCATACCCGGCGGAGGACGGAAGCCCTTTGTACACGGGCGACTTGGAAGCGGCTGAATATATATATATATATGATTATATATGTACAATCAAGATATATAATCTATACAATCTATAAAATCTATATAACCTATATAATCTAGATAATCTAGATAATCTATATAATCTAGAAAATCTATAAAATCTATATATTCTAAATAATCTACACATTTTTTTTAAATCTATATAATCTATATAATCTATAAAATCTACATAATCTACATAATCTATAAAATCTATATAATCTATATAATCGATAGAATCGATATATCCCAAAGTATTTTTCACTCCCAAAAAAACTTCAGGTGGGTTCGCAGATTTCTCGTTAGGCAGAAGCCGTTCTGTGGACCAACTGGAAGCACCGCGGCACTTTGACGGCGGTGAGTGATGTGAAGCTGGCCATGCTGGATGCACAAGGCACCCTTGGCTGCACGGGGAAAACACTGTTTTTTTTTGACCCGAAATAGGGATGAAATTGGGATTTCGGAAAATGATGGTTAAGCAAGATTTGTTGGTTATATATATATTATATATATTGTATATATAATATATATATTATATATATTATATGTATTATATATATTATATATATATATAAAAATTATATGTATTATATATATTATATATATATTATATATATATATATTATATATATATTCCCCTGTTTAAATTGTACGGTTAAAGCAGGTTAAACCACCATTTTGCTCGATGAGATCATGCGATTTTCCATTTTACCCGCGAAAAAAAACCCTCTGGTAATTTCACATGGCGAAGATGGCCAGTTTGAAGACGTAAATCATCATGCTTATCATCCAGAAATGGGCCATGTTCCAGTTCGCAAACTGTTAAATGAACGCATCGGGAATCAGAGGGTAAAAAACAACATTTTTGTTGCTTAAAATCACAATATTTTATTTGTTACCTTCTGGTAAGCTAACGTAGCTATGGAAAATCACAATCTTTGATAGGTAAATCGACTATAATTAAATGGTCCATTTTCACTAGCTATATTAAATTACCAGAGGGTAATATCATTAGTGTGGTAAATATATGGTAAATTTATTTGATGATTAAAATCCACCAGTAATCCATGATAATTCCAAACGGCATTTTTATCTGGTATATCATGTTAAATACAAAGGTATACCCCATGTATATGCATTATTAACTATTATTAATTTATTAACCATTAGTAACCATTATTTTATCTGTCAAGGCTCCATTTTTGAGCAAAACCGCCTGTTTTTTTCCCATCGAAAATCGAGGTTTCTTCGACCTTTGCCAACGCTTCATGCGACGGAGCGAAGCAGCCCTGAAGATCTTAGGCGTCGTCCGACGGGAGCGGTTTGTTTACACAGTGAGGTGGAATTTGGATCAGGATTCACCAGCAAATTTGGAGTATTCAACCAGATTTAAGCCATCAAAAATAGGGATTCAACCAGATTAAAACCACCAAACATGGGGGCTTCAACCAGATGTAAAGCACCCCACCATGGGGGATTCAACAACAAAAAATGGGAGAGTATAATAACCCGGCACCTATTCATTTAGTATGCCATGATCCCCTATTAGCTATATGTAGTTCTCACTCGAGAAAACGATAAGAGGAAAAAAAACGATAACGATGTTCATACATATATATTATATATTATTTATGGGATATGTTCGAAGCAGCAAGCTTTGCAGATGCAAGCTTTTCCCCGAAAAACAGATGTGAAGCTGGTGGTTGTAAGGTAATATCCCACAAAGAAAACACAATACGAATTGTTTTATGAGGGTGTGAAGCCAGCACTTGGAAAAACGATAAGAGGAAAAAAAACGATAACGCGTGGAAATACCATTTGATTGATATCGGGGTTTTTAGACAACCCCAAATGGGGATCTAAACAGTTTTCACCAACAAGAATTGGTGCTATAACAATCAACACTTACGTGTGATTTTACATGATTTCACCAATCAACATGGTGATGTATCATCAACTAAGTAGGTGGATATTCCTAAGAATTTCTAGATCAGAAAAAAAACGGATACAGTCGGATAAGTCGGAATGGATAAGCGTTATGGTGAAGCAAAACAATTTTCATATCCCTTCATGGCAACAAACATGCCCTTTCGATGGTTGTGGGATGTGAACCACATGGCAATTTCTGTCAGTGCCATTTCAGAGGCTACGCGACGCAGTTTATTGAGGAACTGAACAGAAGTGAGTTCAAAAGTGATTTGGACCATCCCTAAAGCGTCGTTAAACAAAAACGGTCGTTTCACTTAGGTCGTTTCACTCAGCAAAACGAGGGTGTGTTTGTTTCGCTTGTCTTCCTGTAATGTTGCAGAACAGCTATTGTCCAGAGTGAAAGAAGCTGGCGCAGTAGCCTCAGTGCAATATTCAGATGGGGTGATCTGTTCAGTGCGATATTGAACTGATTAGGCAAGCACTGACAGCAACAGCCCTTTAAGGACATCGACACTTCATCCTGGCTGTTTCTGGCCCCATTTTGATGCTCGAGGGGTATAAACTCAGGATAGAAAAACAATTGAGATTTCAAAACTTACTATAGTTCCATCATGTTCCACCTATATTTGGTATAAGCCCCTTGCACCGTTCATTTTTGCTACTTCCTTTTGTGGACGACCGGCGACCAGAGGGATGGTTTCTCGTTCAATACTCCTGGTGGATACTATGAAGGTGCTTTCAAAACACCAGGAGACATGGGCCAAATTTAAAAGACCCTCTGGTAAATCGACAGCCGTTTTTCTTTTTCCACATGGGACAGCCGTTTTTCTTTTCGGGTTGCGAGCTCAAGCGGCCGGAAAAATGGTGGCCTGCTGTGTTTATCAGAGGGTGTCTGGTCACGCGTTGGACCAGTTGTTTAAATCGACACAATTTCCGTTTTTTCTGGCGCTGAAAAATTTGCGGTGCCCCCGGCAAGAAATCCGCCAATGTGTCACTACGAAGCTTGTGGAATTTTGCAGCAAAGTTGCAAGCCCTGTACAGTACTGGCACTGCACACGCTTGAGCAGAAAGCTTCTCAGTCCTGAGGGCATGATCTTGTAGCCACTATAGTTGAATGGACCAGAGTTTCCATGAAGTGGTATAGCCTCAAGTGGTTGCAAAGATTGGGTGGTGGTCATAGCCCCCAAACGCTTTTCAACTTTATTATTTTTGCGAGCAAACATGGATGCATGCGAACCGTAATTACATTTACATGATATCACGTCAAAAGTTTCAGATTCACTTTGCACCAAGATGATGCGACATATTTGGTTTGTCATAAACGTATTATGATGGTTTGTCATGCCCGCATGATGCGTGATTCTCGTCTTTACTCCTCACAAACTATACCCTCAAACAGATTTCTGTTGGTTTACCCATTACAAAAAGGATATATTTTCCAGCCAGGTGTCAGATTGCCAGAGGTTAGGTGCCACCATTTTTCTTGGAGAATGGTGGGAAACTTTTGAAACCCACTAGACCTGGCAGCAATAAAATGGGAGTGAACAGAATATATGGCATTTCAGCCGTATTGTAACTCATTAAGTTTCCATTTAAACAGCAAGTTCCAGCAATTTCCGTATTGTAACTCATGGCATTTCGCAGCAATTTCCTTAAACACCAAAGCATTGAAGTTCGGAACTCGATTTTGAGCTTCAAAAAAAAACATGTCCATGTGTAGAAGCCATTAAATCCCATCAAATCGTGTAAGTTCCGACAAAAAACACCGTGCAAGGTGAAGCCCCCGTTTACGAAATCGCTAAGTCGCACAGTTCACTTGGTGAACTGTTGGCTTGATTTTTTGGGGACATCATGAACTAATATTTCATCGTTAACATAACTCCGATAACTAGGTAGATATGGAGGTTTCCAATGGTTTCCCTAAGTCATGGGGGCCCCGCCCCAGTCATCATCGTCCAGTCGTCATGGCTTGACGACTAGTTACGACTAGGTTAAGTTTTTTGGGTTAAGCCAGGGTGACGACGTCATGGGATCCCCCCTTTGAAGAACCCCCCCATAGTGGTTTAATGGGATTTAATAGTGATTTATAGTGATTTAATGGGATTTTATAGTGATTTTAGTGAACTGGTTGGTGGTTTGGAACATTTTATATTTTTCCATATATTGGGAACAATAATCCCAACTGACGAACTCATATTTTTCAGAGGGGTAGGTCAACCACCAACCAGATAGTTGCTATGCTTTACACAGCAACCTTGACGTCACTTGCGTGACCTCACTGAGGTGGGAGGATTGATCGGGCGAGGAGGAGCTGGTACTAAGGAGGCGACGACTAGTGACCAATGGTTGAACAATGGGCAACGGTGAATGTGGGCTTAATGATATCATGTGGTTGAAGGAAGCTTAGAAGTTAAGCTTCCGACAAAATAGATAGATGAAACAGCAGAGGCAGGAAGATGCATTCCACATCACAATTCGATAAGACAAGCCTGAGCAAGTGTGTGTCATCCCCAACTCTATTAGCAACAGCAACGTAGAAACGTTAACATGGAACAGTACCAGCCACCCGAGAAACGGGACAATTGCTGGGGGTGACCACAAGGGTAAAAAATGCAAACATTCCGTGTTATTTTGCAGTTTTGCACTTTTACGGTACATCTTATTATTTGTTTTTTTGGGATTTTTCTTCCATGTTGCCCCTTTGCAAATTTGATGAGTTCTATCCTTTGGGGGTTGTTATAAGATAAGATATGTATATAATGAATTGTAATCATATCACATGATATAGGCACAATCCAGAAAACTCATATATATATATATATATCTACATTGATATGTATATTATGGATAGTTGACAAAATTGGGATGATCTCTGATTTTGAACATCTATGGTTGATGGTACAAACTCCTTCACTCAGGAAAACAACAGTGAGAGACGGAGAAATCCTGACAATTCCACGGCGGTTTTGCCACTTGGGGATGATCCAACTGAGCCTCAAAAAATGTCGATCTTTTCAATCCCCCTATGAATAGTGGCAACTTCCTATGAAAAGCTATTTTTTTGGGGGGTGATATGATCATCATGATCTCACCAGATTCATCGCATTCGTTGGATTAGCGCCGAAGTCCCGCCGCATGGGACCCTGGGGTGACCTCGCAGCGAAGGTGCAGATGCTGACAGGCACCAAAATTGGAATTCGCGAGATTCCTGATGATCCTGACAATCGCTCTCTGAACATTGCACCTCGGCGCAAATTGCAAGGCATTTTTTTTTAAAATTGGAGACTTGCGGGGACATGGGACAAGCAGGTGACAATTTGTTTGAGAATTATCATCGAACTAAAAGGGGGACCTGCATAGCTAGATTGCCAAAGGGTGATATAATACACTATGATAAAATCTAATGAAATATTATACGATACGATACGATACTATGCTATATTTTAAAAAATACAGTATAATATATTATATTATATTTTCTCATATTATATGATATTAAATTATATTACATCAAAATGTATAATATTATATAAAGATTTACTATATGATACTAAAATGTGGTATATATTATATAAATATTAGATCTTGTATATTATAGATTATACATTATATTTTATATATTAAATATTATTTAATATATATGATATATAATATATAGTATATAATATATAATATCTAATATAATATATATTATATACTATATATTATATATAATATACAATATATTATATATTTTATTATATATAATAAAATATATATTATATATTATATATAAAATATGATATAATATATATTATCTATTATATTGAATATACTATATTATAAATTATATCTTCTATATTAAATATGACATATGATATATGATATATGATATATTATATATTGTATCTTATTTATGATTTATTATATAAAATATGTCATGTATTATATATTATATAATATAATATATAATATACATTATATATTATTGATTATTTTTTAGATATAATATTTCTTATTTATTATATATTGCATATTGTTTTTATCTTATATATAGTATATACTATATTATATAATATACAGTATATATATATTTTTTTTTAAAAAATATATATTATATTTGAGATATTATATATTAAATATTGTATATTATATATCGTACATATTATATTATATATATTAAATATTATATATTGTATATTATTTACAACATATTTTTTTTTATCATAACATTTCTTATATATTTTGTACTATATATTAAATATTATTGCATTATATATAATATATTTGAAATTATGTGTAATATATTTTCAATTGTATATCATATATTATATATTAGAAGATATATATTATATAGAATATATATAATATAATATAATATATATATATATAATATATATATAGATATTATTTTGTATATTAACTATTGTATATTATATATATTTATTTTTTTTAAAAATATTTTACTATAAGATATGATTTTAAATTATTTGATATCATATCATTTTATATAATTTTATATTCTAGCATGCTATATCACATTACATCATATTGTATTTTATTATACTATATAATATGAATCATTTTTGGCTACATTATATCCTTTTTTCTAATATAATATATTATATTGTATTTTGCTATATTATAGCATATTATATAAAATTCACGATATTATAGAATTTTATATTATAGCATATTTTATTAAATTAAATTAAATTATATTATAGTATAGTATAGTATATAATATTATGTTTTATTAAATGATATCATATTATATTTTATGATATCATATTATGTTATATGATATTATATACTATTTTTTTAAAAGTTCTATATCGTACTATATTTTATTTTGCTATATTATATTCTATTTTATTATATTGCATTTGTTTAAAAAATATCATATCATATCATATTATATTATAATATATTGGACTGTATTGTATTATACTGTTTGATCTGATCTGATATGATATTATATTAAATATTTCATTTTATATAATATACTATATTATATTTTATACTATTTTATATATTATAACATATATATATTATGTATTATGTATATATATTTTAGATATTTGATATTATATTATATATATAATACATAATGTGTAATATAATAGATTTTCTAATGTAGATTATAAATAGATATTATATATTATTTATTATATATCATTTTAAAATATATCTTGTATTATAAGTTGTATATAATATTTCATTATATGATATTTTTTATTATATGATATCATATTAAATTATACGATATCCTATCCTATTAAATGATATTATATTTTTTTTTATTATGCAATGTTATATTATATTGTATTGAATTATAGTGTATCGTATTTTATTTTGTTATATTACATTATACTATATCATATAGTATTATGGTACGTTAGATAATATTATGTAATGCCCGCTTTGTCGTTTGCGGAGTCTCAAGGGGTGTTGTCGAATCCCATTTATTCTGATTCTGGATTGGTCGAAACCCAGTTTCGACCTTCTTTGAGGGGATGAATATCCATAAATCCCACCTGTTTGATCCATAGTTTCTTAAAGTTTTGTTTGAAACCAGAGTGCCTCGGATACCCCAGTTTTCCATGGTTTAATGTCCATCATTTTACCCATACAGGGTGGTGACGCCTAGCTATACGTAAACCAACTTAGGGAACGAACTGGGGCGCTACCTTGTAGAAAGTGACGAAATTGCCGGGCATCCGCGCTGAATTCAGACCCCCCAAAAGTATGCTTGGTGGCTCATCCCACATAGTAGCTCGTTGGTAACCATAGTTATAATCCACTGAAGTATGAGTTATATCCAATTATATTTTAACTACTACGTGGATTATAATACAATTACATATGGATTATAACAATGTATATCCAATTGTATTTTAACTACTGGGACAATTACATATAGTTATATAATCCACGTAGTAGTTTTAATCCCATAGTTAGCATCCACTTACAGATGGGACAACCCACTGAATGGGACTTACTAAACCAGGGCTATTTTTTTCATTTACGATTCCTGGGATGAGCCACCAAGCCATCCCATTGGTTGGGTATATAATGGTATATATATATATACGCCCTCTGGTTATGACATACATAGCCATGGTATAGATGGCCCATAGAAATAGATGGTTTACCTATTAACAATGGTGATTTTCCATGGCTATGTTGAATAACCAGAGGGTATATCCAATATTTTTGTGGTCAAATCATGTTATACCAACAATTTTCGCACCGTGAAACACACTTCCGCGTGTTCGCGGCTGGCCGTGTTTCGCAAGATCTTCAGGCTGGACCCTTAGCGAATACGTCCGGGATCCTGCTCACAGAATTGGATCCGTGGGTTGCTGGTCATCTTTCAAGTAGCAAACTGGAGAATCACCAATTTTGATCAATTTTGATAGGTAGCGTCTGGTAAACATACAAAACACTATGGAAAATCACCATTTTAAATGGATAAATCAACTATTTCTATGGCCATTTTCAATAGCTATGTTAAATTACCAGAGGGTAAATCATCATGTTTGTCATCGAACCAATGGACAACTTTGCGGATGTTAAATTACCAGAGGGTTCTTCACCGAAGTGAAAATGGGACTGGTCCTAGTTACCCTACGATTTTCATAAATTGAGCGAACTAAGCGACTTACTGACTGAGGTGAACCACCAATTAGATAAGTTGAGCGATTGTTAAAAAATCTGAATCACACCCAAGTGCTGAATGTAGTTGAACTATTTGTTTTTAGTCATTAATCATACCAAACTACCAAACTGAACTTTTTGTCGCAGGACATCTAAGATTCTCCATGGTACCAGATGGCCTGCGTTGCTGGGATCTGCAAGGAACATCTCAATTTGGCTGCGAAAGGGCCAACAAGCACAGTTCCAGGTTCAGAAATGGAGGTTCCTCATGGTTCCCTATGATTCCTTACCATCTAGGTTGACGTCTTTTAGGTTTTGCTTCGTCCCCATGACCATTTGGGGCTGCGGCACATCCTAGCTTTGTAGCTGGTTCAAATTGTAGCCAATCTTTACTTAGTTTCCCCACTTTGGGTTTTCAACAAAGATAGGGATAAGGCCCTAGCAACCGAGGATGAACAAGCCAATCTCACACCAAACGTCAAACAAGGATTAATCAATACAGTTTATCAGTAAGGGGGTATCCCATCTTAATATGACATTCTTACATTTTTGGATCTTTTGGGATTTCCGAATTAATAAAACGATGTCTATTATGGGTTGACATTCAAAATGCTTCCACTCATATTGACATGTGTTTTTTTTGGGATCCCCAACACCATTTCTTTTAATATTAAAATGGTCTAATGACGACTGGATGATTTGGGGGTACCCCAATGGCTTATGGAAAGTTCCATTATATGAACATCTCATTCATCATGAACAGTTATTCAGCCATTATTCACCGCTATTGTAGCCATTATCATGTTAATCAGATGTATATATATATATACATATGTATATATATACACCTTATATACCCATATTAATATGGTTTCTAATATACCAGAAATCATATCTATGGGTACATAGGGTATGTATGTATTTATGTTGATGTACATACCCTATATACCAGAAATTATCTGAATTTACCCATGATATGATTGCTGGTGGAAACAACATATCTTCGATTCGCCTTCGATTCGCTCTGTGGCGAAGGTGTGCTGCCTACATGTTGATGATGAAGCGATACCTGGACTCTGAGGACGCTTTGGGGGAGCCAGAGATGGCTGCCAGAGACAATAAGATCTTAAAACTGATTGGTGGTTTGGAACATGAATTTTCCTGGTTAATCTATGGTTAATAATGGTCTATCTCTATCTATCTCTATCTATCTCTATCTATCTCTATCTATCTCTATCTATCTCTATCTATATATCCCTATCTATCTCATCTATCTCTATCCATCTCTATCTATCTCTATCTATCTCTATCTACCTATCTACCTATCTATCTCTATCTCTATCTCTATCTCTCTCTCTCTCTCCATCTATCCATCTATCCATCTATCTATCTATCTATCTATCTACCTACTATCTATCTATAGGGTGAAGGCTGGGGGTTTCCCGGAAGCCAATTGCATTTTATTTGTATGGATACGGAAAATGTTGATTTTACACTGTGTTTTACATTGTTCTATGCTTTTCTCTGAAAGTGTTCGATCAGCCAAAGTTTCAATGTCGGCGCGGATAAACTTGACGTTTGTCCGCGCAGAAAAATGATAAATTTACATCTTCCATGGATGGTCAAACATGTGTGCAACATTCTAACCATTGGAATTGCGGTTTCATGCATTTTTGGTCATTTTGTTGATAACTAGAAAATGCCATAATTCACTGGAGAACCATGGACGAAATGAACATCACACCTTTTTCATCTTCACGTCCACAAAGGCTTTTTGAAGCAGTTGCTTGGAGCGAGAGCACCATTGGTCTTCTGCAACGTAACAACATCTTCAACGAAGCAACATCCTCAAGGTTTCCACAACTCTCAATCCAACGCGCTCCACATGACGTTATTACACCCCCCCCACCCCCCCACCCCCCATCTCTATACAATAACGACGTTTATAGTATAGGCTCAAGACTGAGGGTTCCTGGAAGCTCCGGGGAACCCCAGCCTTGAGCCTATCTATTCCGACCCTACCAGAGAGGACGGCCCCCCATTCCCTCACCAATTTCACGGGTAAAAAACGAAGCAAAAGTGACCAGACCTGTGACCAGTCCAGCTGGCAGAGTCCATGTTTGGAGGTCAACTAGGCTGGTAAGGATTGTTTCAAACACGCTTTGTGTGGCTATCATTTTCCCTGGCATTTAAAAGTGGCTGGGGGCACCATTTTCAGACACACTCATAGTTTCGGATTCTAGTGTTCTTCAAGAACTGTGGAATAATTGGACACCTGGGTCCATTGTAGGGAAACACATCTTTTCCACATCCTGGACGCACTTTTTGAGCATCTTTTTGGGGTTGCCCTCAGGTAATTTGTTACATAGCTATGGAAAACGGCAAATTTTGGATAACCTATATATCTATTCAACATGGTGATGAATTACATGGCCAACTGTTCAATTACTACAAAAAAAATGCGGCAAAATATTTCCAGGATGTGAAAAAAGATGAAGTTTCCCTAAAAATTCCACGTTTCTAAGGCATTTTTGCAATCTTTTTGCTGGTGACTTGGTGGTTCATCTCACTTGGTAACGAGGTCATACCCCCAGGAGTAAGTGGATTAACCCTACTTATCCCACTTACAACCAGAGACATATGATATGACCTACTTAGTAAATGGGATGAACCAGTATTACCCTAGGGTAAACCAACACTTCGATGTGGAAAACTCACCATGAATGTAGATCATTTTCCGCTTGGTAAACCGTTGGTTTTCCACATCTATGTCAGTTTACCCTAGGGTATCTTTCTTTTTCTCCCTCTCTCTCTCTCTATATACATATATATATACACATACAAGTGTTACATGATGGTTAGTTATAGGGTCTATAACGTCTCCAAAAAACCATTAGTGTTAGAGAAAACCATCACATATATACATATATATATATACATCATGTCCGTAATCTTTTCGATGTTGCCATCGGTCATCACCATCATCACCATCTCGCCAGGCTGCGTCCTCGAGTACTGCCAAGCCTGCGAGGCGTTGGTGCGTTGTACCCGGATGTACCCTAGGTACCCTACAATAGCTGGTATAGCTGGATGATTCTCCCTTTGATGTCGAAAAAAATCATAGCTTTCGAGCCATCCCCAAAAATTAAGTTCAGATGAATTCCCTCAAAAAACCGCCAAAGATATGGGATGCCATGGGTACTGTATCTAGTTGTGCTAGTTATGGCAATTCGTTGAATCCCCAGGGATCATGGGAAACATGGACAGAGTGCAGGTGCTGATAGTTGTAACATGTTTTAACTGTCTAATTTCATAGTTAATCTATATGAACATCTATGTTAATCTCTCTTTGATCCTTCAATCCAAATTTTCATTGAGCTTTGAACTTACCCTGTGGTAAACTAACATAACTATGGAAAATCACCATTTTCAATGGGAACATCCACTATCTCTATGGTGATTTTCAATAGCAAACTGTAACAAATTACCAGAGGGTATATCCCATTAATATCCCATTGAATCACTATAAAATCCCATTAAAACACTATAAAATCCCACTTTATCCTGGTTCCAAGTTGTGTCCAGGTAGGCGATGAGCCGGGCAGCGAAACCGAAAAACCGCCACGTCGACCACGGAGCCATGGGCCTGACAACAGAAAACGTACCGTTTCCCCGTGGGGTTTGCATGAGTTACAAGGTGATGCCCCCTAGATATATATATATATATACATATATGTTTCGATATGTTTATATAATATCTAAAATGACTTATCCAAAACTTGGTTAAGTAGGGTTGATGAATGGGGGATATCACCAACTAGTATTCATGGGGTTTATTTCAGGCTGGTGAATTGTAGCTAGCCAAATATATGATGGTTACTATACTAAGGGAGTAACTCACCAAAGTTGGCGATATATGGCAGTTAAACATAGTTAAACCGGATGTTTAACAAATGACACAGGGGATTGAAGTGGAGGTACTCGCTGGGCTATGTACTATGTACCATAGTTTAATCCAATAAAGATGCATGGGGATGCTGTTAATTTGAGTGGCAACTCTTGCAGATTTGGAACCCCAACCCATCGGGTGACGTTTTTTTTTTCCGATGGATCAAAACTTCTCATATCATGCGGATCCTAAGTACTTGCGATACTTTAGTATTTTTTTGCGCACTCATATGTGAATCTAAATAATAATAATGATAATAATAATGATAATAATAATGATAATAATAAAAATGCAAATGCATCTTTATATATAGATATGTGAATTCTCGGAGATTTGGAACAGCTGATGTGATAGACGGATAGACCGTTGAACACTCGCAAAATCTCGCGAAAACACCACCCCCCAAAGTTTTTTTTTCCAGAGGAATGATGGATTTTCCCATGGCTTTTTCACATTTCGTTTCCATCAAAAGCTGGTGAAACGCAGCCAAAAAATCTGGGTCCCATGGCTCCCATTGGCTTCGGAAAGACGAAGCAGCCGGAACACAAAGCACCACCGCGCCGCTCGAAGTCATATCCCGAAAAGATGGATCTGTGGTTTCTCACGGTGGTCCTAACGGTGGTCCTAACACTGGTCCACGGTGGGATTTTTGGCGGACATGAAGTGGTTATTTGCTCGCAATCTACACTTAATTATATACAACAGTTTTAAGCGAACATCGCCATTTTGGAGTAAATGATGATTTTTGGCGACTGTAAGTGAGGTGCTTCGTTTCGCCAAAAATAGCAGTTTGGAAAGTGGAGAATCACCCGAGAGTGAAGTAAATGATGTAGATAGTTGGGAATGAACATTGGGAATTGGGATTCATAGTCAGTTAGTTAAGCCATAGGAACTTCCTTTTAAACCAGCTTTATTTACAATTCTTGGGATGACTGACACAGGTCTCGGATTTGAACATCAAGAAATGGGGGCTTTATCAGAGGCTTTATCAGCAAGGAATGAAGGACATGGAGATTAGCCAACTACTAGCTACACCCGTGAAGGATGACCATCACACTGTGGATAGCAGGAATCCGTGATGGATTTACAGTAAATCATCCCTTGTGTGACGAGAATTGTGTCGTTTCAATGATTGTTTGATTCGAAAAACCTTGACCGTTTTTTCTTCTGGAATAGATATGTAGAATATGGGTTCAGTGAGACCATCAAAAAAGGTTGCCACTTTTCCTTGGAGAAAACTGCTCTCCCCACCTGTGGATGGCTCTGCAGAAGTCTGAAGCAACGAGATTCCGCAGAGAGGGTTACAAGCAGACACAGCCAAGAGAAGAGGTACGATATATATATATATATATATGCACATATGTATATATATGTATATATATATATGTATATATATATATGTATATATATATGTATATATATATATGTATATATATATGTATGCACATATGTATATATATGTATATATATATATATATGTATATATATATATGTATATATATATGTATATATATATGTGCATATATATATATGTGCATATATATATATAATATGTATACACAAAATACAAATATTATATACACATATTTTTAGATATAGATATAGATATGGATATAGATATAGAAACATATAGTATAATTATACAATATATTAATCTAAACATGAACATTTGGCTGTACAAAAATAGTTCTGGAACCATGTAGTATGTACTCATAGGATTTTATAGGTAGATTATTGATAGACATACGTCTTCTGGAATATTCAGGAGGTGTATCATTTTTCACCAGACGCAAATGACAACGGCAAACGTCCTGAACACAGAATAGATAATTACAATCTCATATTTTGGGGGTGGCGGTTGTTATGGGGATGGCTCAGAACCTACGAAATGTCATGCTTTGTGGGCATATGAAACTCTACAAAAAATCCTAGCTATTTTGGGGTGAACTAGAGTAACTAGAGGGTGCGGCCACATATGTGGCCCGATGCGGCGTCCTGCTGCAACGTCGGCTGCCTGGTTGGGGTCTTTGGGAATCGCTGCGCAGGTAGATGGATTGAGTTCTTGCCAACCAAACTGGGGAATGTGGAATATTCAGGGCTTTCAAATGAAGAGAATTCCGTGGGTAGCCACAGCCAAAAAACAGACAGGGGGAGATCCATTCCCAACTCCGAATCAATTTTCCCATTTTTCCCCACCTGCCAGGTGAGGGTTGTTAGATTTTATCAGAGCTGTTGTCCTCCTCCTCCTTCTCCTCCTCCTTCTCCTCCTCCAGTTTCTCCTCCTCCTCCGCCTCCTCCGCCTCCTCCTCCAGTTTCTCCTCGACCATGTCTGCATCAACTTCCACCTCCACTTCCGCCTTGCCAACTCTTCGCCAAGCTCTTCGCCAACTTCCTGGCTCAGTGCGCACTGCTGGACCTCAACCTGGGACCTTCCCAGCTCAGTGCGCACCGCTGGACCTCAACCTGGGACCTTCCCAGCTCAGTGCGCACCGCTGGACCTCAACCTGGGACCTTCCCAGCTCGGTGCGCACCGCTGGACCTCAACCTGGGACCTTCCCAGCTCAGTGCGCACCGCTGGACCTCAACCTGGGACCTTCCCAGCTCAGTGCGCACCGCTGGACCTCAACCTGGGACCTTCCAGCTCAGTGCGCACCGCGCCTCAACCTGGGACCTCAACGGCCAGATAGAATGCCAGAAGATATGCCAGATAGAATGTCAGATCGAATGCCAGAAGATATGCCAGATAAAATGCCATAAGATATGCCAGATAGAGTGCCAGAAGATATGCCAGATAGAATGTTAGAAGATATGCCAGATAGAATGCCAGATAGAATGCCAGATAGAATGCCAGATAGAATGCCAGAAGGTATGCCAGATAGAATGCCAGAAAAAATGTCAGATAGAATGCCAGAAGATATGCCAGATAAAGTGCCGGAATGTTTGCCAGAAGATTTGCCAGATAATATGCCAGAAGATTTGCCAGATAGAATGCCAGATGGAATGCCAGAAGATATGCCAGAAGATATGCCAGGTAGAATGCCAGAAGATATGCCAGATAGAATGCCAGATGGAATGCCAGAAGATATGCCAGAACATCTGCCAGAAGATGTGCCAGGTAGAATGCCAATACTATGCCAGATAGAATTCCAGATAGAATGCCAGAAGATATGTCAGATAGAATGCCAGAAGATATGCCAGATTGAACGCCAGAAGGTATGCCAGATAGAATGCCAAATAAAATTTCAGGTAGAATGCCAATAGATATGCCAGATAAAGTGCCAGAATGTTTGCCAGATAGAATGCCAGAAGATTTGCCAGATGATATGCCAGAAGATATGCCAGATAGAATGCCAGAATATATGCCAGAAGATATGCCAGGTAGAATGCCAGAAGATTTGCCAGATAGAATGCCAGAAGATATGTCAGATAGAACGCCAGATAGAATGTCAGATAAAATGCCAGAAGATATGCCAGATAGAATGCCACAAGATATGCCAGATAGAATGCCAGAAGATATGCCAGATAGAATGCCAGAAGATATGCCAGATAGAACGCCAGAAGGTATGCCAGATAGAATGCCAGATAAAATGTCAGGTAGAATACCAGATAGAATGCCAGAAGGTATGCCCGATAGAATGCCAGATAAAATGTCAGATAGAATGCCAGAAGATATGCCAGATAAAGTGCCAGAATGTTTGCCAGAAGATTTGCCAGATAATATGCCAGAAGATATGCCAGATAGAATGCCAGATGGAATGCCAGAAGATATGCCAGATAGAATGCCAGAAGATATGTCAGATAGAACGCCAGAAAAATGTCAGATAGAATGCCAGAAGATATGCCAGATAAAATGCCAGAAGATATACCAGATAGAATGCCAGAAGATATGCCAGATAGACTGCCAGAAGGTATGCGAGATACAGTGCCAGAATGTTTGCCAGATAGAATGCCAGAAGATTTTCCAGATAGAATGCCAGATAGAATGTCAGAAGATATGCCAGAAGATATGCCAGATAGAGTGCCAGAAGATTGTAGAAGATATGCCAGGTAGAATGCCAAAAGATATGCCAGAAGATATGCCAGATAGAATGCCAGAAGATATGCCAGACAAAATGCCAGAAGATATGTCAGATAGAATGCCAGAAGATTTGCCAGTAACAAAACTTATAAATGTCATGGTGGGGATAACTCGAAGTAAAGTAATTTTTTGGTTTCCGAAAGTTTGTTCGCGGTGAAGATTTCGACTTCGCAGCGCCTATCGCCATGATAAGGCTCCAAATCCAAGAAATGAGGCCTGCTTTGAGTCCAATGTTTGGGCATGTTTGGGCTAGAGGGCTAGAAAAATATCTACCAATGATTCTAGAAATTTTCATGATGGTTAATTCTTGATAATCTAGTATTAATGTTCTTATAATATTAATCATCATTGTCGATTAGTACCCGTCAAAACGACACAACATGAGCTACTCCGCAGAAGGTGGTTTTCCAGTTCAGCAACTTAGCAATCAATCGCTACTTTTTCTTGCAAGGCACCACCTTGTACCAAGCATATATTGGGTGTAAGGTTTCAGCATGCCCAAAAGATTTCTATGGTACAGTATCTACCTCCAAATTTTTTGCCATCCACGTTTTTTTTTGTCGGAAACTCACCAGCTATGCCAAGGCTTGGAGGCGACAAAGGGCGCCCAGGTAGAAACTCTGAAGACGAGCGGCGCATCGAGGAACTCTGCTGGAGTCGATATTTTTGACAGGGACTATCATTGAAAAAGTAAGGTCCAGAACCCACCCCTAAACGAGAGGTTTAACCAATGAGATTCCAGATTTAATTCAGAAAACAGGGATTTTGGAGGTGATTTATGATCAGTTTCTGTTTGGAACTGCTATTGTTTTTGGGGTTTATTGCGCTCGGTATATTTGCAGTTGGATGGGTGAACATCAATAAACAAAAATCAACGGGAGAGGTCCTCTATGAATGGAATACCTTCCGCCCCAAGCGCTGCAGAAGTCTTACTTTACCTTGAAAATACCGAGTAGCAGCTATTTGACCCTGGAAATTGCGCGATTTCCTTGACTCAGTTTTCTCACATCAGACCTGGCTTGACCTGATTTTTCGATCGGGATTTCATCGGGAAACCGCCCCCGATTGCGACCGGAATCAACGAAGGTGAAGTATCAAAGAAGGTCGCCGGAATCGGATATCAAGTGGATCATAACCACACGAGTACATCCAAGAATTCTTTCCATAAGCGGATGTTATGGTAACCCCAGTCAGATGTTCTAACCCGTCATATATACTCCAAGAATTCTTTCCATAACTATAACTCAGAGTATGCAAGTGTAACCCCAGTCAGATGCTCTTTCCATAAGCGGGTCTGAACATGGTTCCATGGTGGATCACTGGTTCCACATGAGGACCTCCCTCGAGTTGCACAATTTTTTTTCAGAAATCTGAAGCATTGCAGCATGGTCTTGCAGCATGTTTAACCAATGTGAAGCTGTGCCCATTTGGGTCATGTTTAAACAGCTTTCAACATGGTTCTTCCATTCCATTTTTCGACAGATGGTCCAAGTGATGAGAAGGTCCGAAAAGATGCTGAACAGTGTTTCCAGCATCCTTTTTGGACGATTTTTACTTCATGTTTCCAGGTTTTCCACTTTTCTATCTACTGTATTTTGGGGTTGCTATGGAACCAACAGAAAACATCATAGCAACCCCACCAACAAGAGCTAACTGTACACCCGTTCAAATGAACAGCAAATCATTCCAGTGGGAGGTGCCTTGTTTATTGAGATAACAACGGCAGACTATGGGATGTCGCAACAGACGTCCTTTTTTTTATAAAACGCCAGGAGCTTCAAGAAAAGTTACCGCAGCTGCAGGCGGATTTTTTGGGATGACTTACCGTCTGTCCCATCCTGGTTGGGCACTGGATAACCCTCCAAGTACTCCGATAAAACCCAGCTATTTTCTGGATAAAACATGATAAACACCAGTTCCTAATAAGGGTCATAATCTCTTCCCCTCCAATATGAAAGACCCAGCCAGTATTGGTCCGTTCACTTTTGGGGCTCATATGAGATGTACGTTTTATATTAGGGGGATGGGATTAACAAATATACATATATACATATATATTTATACATACACACACACACACCTCCTGGTAGATTCACATAGACCCTGAGAGTGGAAACTAATCTTCCAAACCCTATCTGGAAGGGTCAAACTGTTAATTTACTGGAGGGTTTATATTTGGTATAATATAGGTGATATCAATCATTTGTTTAAGATGCACATCCCAGTTAGGAGGTGGTCATAAACAACTGGGGGTAAACATCTTGTTTGAAAATAGGATTTAATTTATATGGATTTTAATCAGGTTTATCCGACATGGATTTACTCATGGGGACTATCACATTTATAGACATCATTGAGCTTTATCACATTTATAGCTAGCGTTTTTTACCCAGTTCACAACTGGGTGAACTAAACAATTGAACTTTGGCCATGAGGAACCTCCCTTACCTGCAATCCAACAGTGAATCTCCAAAGTCCAGATCCAACAGGCATAGACTATCAACATGGCGATCTCATGTGGGTAATTCCCAATGTCATGTAAAAACCCATCCCCCAGGAAAATCAGCATGAATTTATAGGTGATATAGTATAAACCATTCCCAGTCATGGGTGGTTTATGATGTAAACATGGCATTGTTTTACCCACATTTTCATATCGCCGGCGGAAAATGGCCAGGCTTTGCTGGATGAGTTGAGATATGCCAAGCAACCAGTGCAGCGCACGGTGCAGCAGGCCGAAAGTGCCGTTGAAGCCATGGGATTCTGGGGTCATTCCAATGGTCGAACGAAAACCCACTGATTTTTAAATAGCTGGGTAAATTATAACGATCTCACTGCGACCTCACTGGAATCATGGTTTATAAGGGGAATCATCCCAAAATGGCCTTAATTCAGGTCCGTAGCCATTTTGGCTCAAGCACGTTGGATTGTGCAATCAGAGGCGCCAGGGACATTAGTTATATGTATAGCTTTGTATAGCCCTGGAATAAGTAGAAAATAATGCTCGTAAGTGGGCTAAGTTACACAACTTGGAATTTAACATATGTTAACTATGCTATTCTATATGATAACTCAACTAGTGCTTCAATCTGGAAGGTAACTCAATCATCAACAGTTGGTTTTTTCAATCATCGGCAAGGGTGAAATCCAAGCATGCCCCGGTGCTGCTGCGACGTGCCGGGCACAATCCTCCAACCATTATATTGGTTGGTGGGCTTTGTGTATGGGCTGCTTGGCCATCGCATCAGGATGTTTGTTTGTTCATTGATGAATTTGTGCTGAAGACGCCGAAGACGCCGCAGACGCCGAAGACGCCGCAGGGTTCCGAACAGGAGTTTATAGAAACTAACTCCAGATTTCACTGTGTTGTTTTACTCCGACCGTGTCCAACCAACCCCAAAATTGTCATTTTGATTTATCTTGAGCCATGTTTAGTTTACCTCCCTCGACCCTACAGCACAACACCTTCAACATATGAAACAAATTGACCTATCGAGTCATTTATAGTCACATAGTCATTCTTATAGATTTAGCCCTTCTCCGCACAAAACACTATGTTCAACATATGAACGAACTTGGCATTTTGAGTCATGTTTGAAATGTCTTTTCCTTCCCCTACAACAAGACAATACGTTGAACAGATGCCACCTCTCTGCAGGTACACGTCTCAGTGGAAGCCGAATCCATGCCAAAAATTTTGGCAGCCAGTGGATTCAATAAGATATGGGCTGCGCCAAAACAGGCCTCAGGCCGATTGAGCGATGACTACAGAGTCCTTTGGCTGCCTGCTCATGTGGATGACCTACAAAAGGCCAATGCATTTGCGGCTCAACTTTCGGGAACAATGGGACTCATTCGAGGCAAGAGCACATTTGGTGTGCGCATGTTGAAATCAGCTTTTGACACAGCCTGGACTCAAACATATCCAGAGCAGAGCCCCCCGAAAGACATTCCATCCACTTTTGTGTACAAGTTGGAACCATTGGTTTTTATGGTACCAATCCCAAGACATTGGAGGAATGGGCCAATCACATCGGATGGGTTCTCCGCCCACTCAAACCTGCAGGTGCCAGAGCTTGGTTGATTGGTACAGGCCAATCACCCCCGACAGGTGCCCTGACGTTCAACGGATCCTTGATCTTGGCAACTTTGCTTCCCCCACGACAAAGTTCCGTGTTTCAACCCATTGCAGCAGGACATCCAGTAGTTTTGATTTGCAACCTGCCCAGCAATCTTCAATGGCCAGCCAAGACCCATGGGCGAAGTATAGGCCCACACAGCCTGTTCGTGCCAGTGTGCCCGGAAACGCTGCTTCCTCCACGGGCCCAACAGAACTCAGATTTCAGCAGCAAGATGCAAAGATGTCAGAGCTTGAAGCCAGAATCGCTGAGATTCATGCAGCCCAGCAGTACCAGGCCAAAACCAGTGAATCTCTTGCAAAAGTAATTGCATCGACTGAAGCCAGATTGCAAAGCTCCTTTCAAACAGCTGTTGAAGGAGTCAAAAATGAACTCACCCAGGCTTTCACAGGTGCATTGAAACACCAATCTCAACAATTTGATTCAGGATTCCAGGAGCTAAAAGCCCTGCTTCAAGCCTCATCCAAACGCAAGAACCCCAATTCAGGGGACGATGACATGGAATCTTGACAAGCGCCAGATCCGTGCACATTAATTAGATTTTGCAGCATAGCATCCTTCCCACGTTGCCAGCATGTTCCGCACCAGAGCCATTGTAATGATTCTTTTCATGCAGCAAGTGAAGCCCATTTCACTTGCAAGAGGTTTGCTGTTGAATCAACTCTGGTTATTGCGCAGTATCCATGGTTGTGTGACATTGCAGCATTTTGCCAGACGCCACGTGTTCAGATGCATGTTTTTTCTTTGCCAACAGCTCTAGCCAAAAACTTAGCAGTGGACTTAGGTCGTGATAAACCATTTGATTTCAGTGTCCCTGTGATTACTGTGAATAGGGAAAAATGGCCCATACCTCAAGACCGTTTGCTACACATGAGCCTGTCCGAAGTGTCAGCCATGCCACAGGCTAGGAACACCCTTCTCCGTGTACAGTCAACCATGGCCTGCTTTTTGTACATGAGAAAGCCTCAAAAGGGAGGTGCCCTTTTTTCCCTTCAACACCTTCATTTGAGACATGCTCACATGCCATTGTATCCTTGGAGATCCAAATTAGCGTGTGGCATCCGCCACGGTGAAGCCAAGAATCCAGGGCCACAGCAGGAAGACGATCACACTTTTTTCAATGTGGGAGTTGTTAACCCCACCAGTTTGTACAACAAATCATCCACGGTCCTACAACTCTTTGATGAAGCCAACCTGCACATTTTGTGCCTTGCAGAAACTTCAGCTACGGCATCCACCCAAAAGCTTGTGCAATCCCAACTGCAACCGGCAGGAATTAGATGCAGATTGACTCCAGAAGTACCTCCACAAACCACTCGGGTCACGGGCGAACCCAGCAACCGAGGTAAAGCTTCAGGTACAGCGATCTTTGCACGTATTCCATGCCGACAGAATGCCAACCCTCGACCTATGGAATGGACCACATCGCCACGTTATTGCCACTGCATTTGTAAGTTAGGACCCACACAATGCCAGGTAGTCAGTGTCTATGGCATGACTTCCAGCCACTCAACAGCCCATGAGTTCACAAATCAGCTCCTTGAAGTAATCCTGCATGAAGTCAAAACAGTAGGCCTGCCTTTCATCATCGCTGGTGACTTCAATGTTGAGCCGAGCACCCTTCCAATATGGACGGAATTTGCAAGCCTTGGATGTCGGGACCTGATTGATCTCCATGACCAATTGTTTCATTGCCCCATGCCGGCCACATGTTACCTTGCCCCCATGATTACTCATATCAGCGTTTTGGAGCCAACATGGTTTGCCACGCATAGACCTGTCGTCTTTTCTCTTTCCATGCCAAAAACCCAGGTGTTTAAACATGTCCTGAGGTTTCCCAAGTCTTGGATTGAATTAGGGGTTGAAAGACAGGATCTTGAAAAAGTTGAACCAATTCTCCAAACATGGCCCCAACCTCAATCCCTTGAAGAATGGGGCAACCAAGTAGAATCTGCAGTTGACCTTGCTTTAAGCATGACGGCTCATGAACAACCAGCCCAAACGGACCACCTGCCTCGAGCCTACCGAGGCCGTATGCAGCCAAGAACACCAGTTAAAATCCCTGTTTATTCCCACGTCAAGCCTGCTCGTAAAGGGGGATATAGCCCTCAGAGGGAAGTTGGTTGCGTGTCCACTGGCCGATGTATAAAGCAATTGCGAAGAATCCAAAGCTTGCAAAGAAGACTCAGAAAATATGAATTGGAAGGAACCACCTGGTTCAGAACGAAACTTGAACTCATCCAGGAGTGGAAGAAAATTGTGTTATCAACTTGCTTCAATAAACCTTTTCTTGCATGGACCCAAGAAATTCCAGAAGTTGGTTTTCCAGCGTTCCCCTTGCCATCTTCCGACTGGCTACATGCAGTGATGCAATTCGTTAAACTTGAGGTAGACAGAAAGGTTCAGGCTGATCACCAGTTTACCAAAAAGTACCTCCAGTTCAAACAAAAATGCGATGAAACCCACATGGGAGCCAAATTGGCCTCTGCCGGAGTCCGAGGACCCTCCATGCCCCCTGTAACTCAGCTCAAAGATGAAACGGTGTTGCAAGTGGATTGTTCATGGCAGCCGGCCAATCACACCGTTGAATGCACCTTTCCTCATGAAATTGAACTATCACCCTGCAACTCCTTTCGAATCGGGTCATTGCAGGGAAAAGTCCTGGCCATCAGCCCCCAGAAATGCACCCTGCATGTCCCCGATTTGACTGAAAGTGGACCACCGAGGGAGACACTCACGTGCACTGCCATTATCTTTGACCCAGCACAGGTTGCTGACCAGCTCAGTAATTTTTGGCTCCCAATCTGGCAGGCCCCAACCAGACCCCTCGTAGATGAAGATATTGCCAACTTCAATGAAATCATCCACATGCTTCCAGCGATGCCAGAGCTGGAACTAGACTTCAGCCTTGCCCAGTGGAAACAGGCCATTGCATCATTGAAAACAACAGCTGCCAGGGGTTACGATGCCATTTCAGCGGCCGAATTGACCACATTGCCTGACTGCTTAGTGGACTCTCTACGCTTGGTTTGTCAGCAATATACAAATGGCTTCCCATCTTGGCTGATGGCCTCTAGAGTTTGCCCCATTAGCAAATCTTGGAGTACCCCTAATAATGCCCAGGTTAGACCCATTACCATAATGAGCCAGGTCTATAGACTCTATGGTATCTTGGTGTGTAGACAGATCTTGCGACAATGGGGTTTGTGCTGCCCAGCCTCTGTCACAGGCTTGCTACCGGGCAGAGGTGCCCATTTGGCTGCAGCTCCAACTGGAATTCCACCGCAGCACAAATGTGGCTCCATCAGGACTGACGTTTGACATCATCAAATGCTACAACCATATACGCCAGGATCTTGCCTTCAGACTTTTGCGCTGCATGAAGGTCCCGGAAGCGGTTGTATCATGTCTTGAAGGATCTCTTGCCAACCTCACCAGATCATGGCAAATCAGTCAGCAAACTTGGGGAGCTCATCATGCTACCTGGGGATTTCCAGAGGGCGATGCCCATTCTGTTGTTGTGATGGTGGCCCTTGCCACGGCCTGGACCAGTGCCTTGTCCACCATTACTGGCGGTGAAGTCAGTCCGGTTGGA